CATGGGGTTTAGCAAAGAGAATGATAGATTCATCATCTATTTTGTCATCATTTTGCTGATTCTCTGTAAATAGGTAGAAATGTGTGAGAAACCAGTAAAAAGTACACAGAAAATACAGAAAATAAGATGAACAACTACAATAATGAGTAACATGGGCAATAAAAATGATACCAAGAATCCAGGCAGGAATTAAAAGAAAACTAAAGAAAGATAGTATTGTACAAAATGAAGGCAAACATTTAATTTGCTACTGAAGAGTACTTCAGTTTATTAGCAAAAAAAGAAGACTATGTTGTGAGAATGTTAGGCTACCTCTGTGATAGTGAACTGAAGCATACAGAAAGTTTGCTCACTTTTGTTTTTGTCTTTTTGTGGCATTTTTTCTTTGGAATTAAGGTTGATTGCAGAAAATTCACTCATGAAACTTTTTTCAACTAGTACAACAAAACTGAATGTGCCACACTTTGATGTGTGAAAAGCAGCTAAATGAAAGGAGCACATTGTAAGCTATGATGCTTCTCTGGGGAGTGTGGTAAATGTTGGGGATTTTTTTTTTGGTGAAGGATTTTCTTCACATTTACATGAAATAAGTCATATTTTGACATGCAAGTGGTAGCAAGGAACAGTATGATCCTCTCAAGTGAATTGCAATTAACCATGTACACCCAAGCATCAATATGCATACTCTTCATACTGTTCCCTATACATTTCCCAAGTCCTCAAGTCAAGGAGAATTTTTTTAACAACCAAAAGTTTTTCTAGTTAGTGATCATTTGACATATTCTTGTGACTCTAGTGTGTGACTCAGGGTGTGATGTTGTAAAGAGAAATTAGATGCTAATCACTCTTAGAGATTGAAGGTTTAAAGAAATTTGTTTAACAAACTTTCTCTTTGTTGTCTTTCCAAATAGGCTAAGTCTCACTTGTGTGCAGCTAAATGTTGTGAGAATTTAACACCAAGTAAGGAGGAAGTGCAACAATGTATGAACAGGTGTTTTGTTCCCATTCAACAAATTCAAGAATACCTTGGTAAAGAGCTTACTGGATTTCAGGTAAGTAGACTTTTAGTGTGGTTTGGAGGTGATTTTTGAATTTGGAAGGTTTGGAGCTAAAGTGAGAGAGTGACTTCAAAGTTTTCTCTGGAAATTCCCAAAACCAACCAAGTCAAGTGGCTTCCTTCAAATCAGGAAAACATGATTACTAACAATAATTTTTTTTGTATTGTTTTTTTTTTCACTTTTTATAGATTGTTTGTTTGTTTGTTTATTTTACTGTTATTTTTCATGACAGAGTAAGCAAACATTGTTGATATACCAAGTAACATCTTCTGGGCAATTTTTTTCCTATTAGACAATAAAAAAAAGAGCTGACATGAGTATTTTGAAACTATGATGACAGCAAGATTGAAAGTGTGTCATGAAAAATAATGTAGCCAGCTCTGCTGATTTCCCATGTGACTATGTAGGGTTGCTGTTAACTGTTATTGTTTTCCTGTATTAAGGATCGTCTTGGCCGTTGTGCTCAACAATGCCAGGACAAAATTCAAGACAATGTTGACCCAACTACTACACAGTCTGAATTGACTAAGTATCAGGCTGAACTGGACGTGTGCGTTGATCAGTGTTGTAAAACACATTTGGAACTCATACCAAAGATGTTTGAACGAATCAATAAAGTATTGTCACAAGTGCAAGATCCCAGCCCAAGGTGACACTGGTGTGAAATTTAGAATGGAAAATTAATTCATCAATGTCATTGCAACAGTTTTTATTGGGAAATTGTAATTTCAGAATCTCAGTGATCTGCAAAACTTCATCTTGGAGTCAACTCACATTTTCTATCTACTGTCTGTGGAGCCTCTATTTTTTGAAAGGACACTGGCAAGGCTTTTAGAAACCTTTAATCCAAAAGAGTGACGAGAATTTGATTTCTCCTTCTTGTATCATTGCTGAATCAAATATCAGAGTCATGAGAATAAAGGAGATGATTTGCAAGTAAAGAAGCTCTTGATTGTTGGACAAATTATCATAGTCAGTTTTGTAGAAAATGCATTACAAGAAGAATGTGCTTAAAGATGTTAAGTTGTAAGGGTTTACTGTGTTCCCAACGTAGAATACTCGGGATGGAACCACTGCTTGGTCTTGACTGGAAGAACTTTTACATGGCTGTTGTATTTTGGTCCTTTTATTGAATGGACACTTTAAGTTAAGGGACAGTTTTTAGTGTCTGAGGTACCCCTCTCCGTTGGAGGTTGAAGTGATAAAACCTCTCCTTTAGACACCTCTATTCCAGAGACACAACTTTTGGTCGCGCATGACCTCATTAGGGGGAGGGGGAGGGGGAGGGGTTGGTCCCTTTTCATTATCTTAAAGTTGTCCCTTGGATAGATTTTCTCCTGATGAAACCTCTCTTTTAGACACCACTTCTAAACGCACATACCGTTTGGTCTTGATGGAAAATAATGATCTAAAAATCTTTGCAGTTTCATGTCTAAGAAAGTACTCCTCTATAGCGATATGTTACTTTGTGGATATCGAACTTAAATCTTGCAGCAAATGGTGAATAATTTCAACTGATATAAATCTTAAAACTTCGTTTTCCTTTCTTAATGGAATCCAGGAATCTTATGGTTGACTCAGTTGCTTGAACGATCTTTTGCTCAGTTGATTTCCCTGCTTTTTTTATCTCCCTCCTCCTATTCCGAATTTTTGTGAACTTTAAACGTTAATACTTATATTTGTTCAATCTCTCCTTACTGTTTTTTATAACTTTTGTTCACAAAACTTTACTTTTCTACATTATTAGCATTGTCCAATTCCTCGCAATCAGGCGATTGAATCGAGTGATTTCAAAGTGAATAATGAAATGACGATTGAACTTCGCGTTATTCAGTTTTGGCTTGCAATCGTACTTGTGATCTCAAATCGATTTTGAAAAACTAATTAGTATTCCGAGCAAACTGCGTTCCCCTGAGTTCAGTTATCATAGTGGTTGTAAATCTTGCACTCCATTCTCTAACTCGTTATTGCTCGCCTAGCAAACGTGTTTTATTCTTTACAAATGCTTTAGATCGTTGCTGATGATTTTGAAAAACAAACCTTGTATAGGGTTTCAAAGTAAATACCCTGCTTGACAGCATGAAATACAGTTTAATTAGTCATTAAGTCAGCGAATTTTTAACAGTCTTCGGCGAAAGCCATTGATGATGGTGCCTCTTTTAAAGGTTGAAACAAAAGCTCTGGTATGTAACCTGTCTCTAGTTCATCCCCTGATTCCTCAAAGAATTCAAACTGGACGCCTTCACAATTGATCTCACTCATCGGCCCCTGTCCAAACCGCTGCAAGGTTTCTTCTGACGTAACAGTGATTGAATAGATGACATCGTTTTGTAATTTTATCCCTTTTGAAAATATGACGTCTTGCGTATCACTATCATCGTCGCGGTTATCAAGATCTGCTTGATGTGACGTCAGCACAGAATCCCTATCGTCACGCAGCTCAACTCTAACACTCGATGAGGCTGATTGCGTGACAGCCGTAAAAAGTGCAATGCCCATGATGCTGATTGGCTGACTGACCTTGAATTTCACGGTGGATTGTTGTGGTGCGACTGTTGTCCACTTTGGGCGCAGCGCTGTTGATTCGAAACGCGTGCAGCGAAAGACCGCCTCTTGAAGAAGCCCAGCACGAGGCTCTGTTGGAAATTTAACGTTGCAAGACTGAAAGTTGGAGTTGAAGCCGATGTACATATTTGCTACTTCTTCGTGACTTAGATAAGATGACTGAGCCACGTTTTCAGTGAATTCCTTCATACTCATCAACGGGAAACGAATGGAATAAAACGCATCCCCAAGAACCTCGCGTCTATTCTCAGCTGTCAACGGAAGTGACAATCGCTGGCATTCCCGCCCCGCCCACCTCACTGCTGCTTGGAAAAGTACCGTCTCCTTGGCAACTAAGCTGTCGCGTTTCAAGAAAGCAGTAAGCGTTCTGTGATCGATTTCTACGAATTGGTGATCTTGAGCTACTTCAGAAGCGTGTTGGTCGATGATTGTCCAACATTGTTTCTCCAGGCCATTGCTGACCCCAAGCAGACAACAATGGTCCAATACAGGAAGAGTGTTCGCGACAGTTAAGTTACTCGCGATGAATTCAGTGCAGATCTCCGCCAAGCTTGGAATAAGGTACTTCCGGGCTAAGAACAAGACTTCCGGCGCGTTATCAGTTGTCAGCTGTACTTCGTCGTAGTACATGTACCGGAGCATCTCCAGAAACGATTCCGGTTCACATTCTGATATTTCTGCCTAAAAGGAAACTTAGTTGGCTATCAACCAGAAGTTGATAAAGGAACAGTCATTGCATAAAAAGTGTGTTCGTTTTAAGATTTTTGACGAATCCTCGTTCTTGGATAGAAAATGCCTTCACAATTTTGGATCACTTCCGACAATCGACTATACTATATCAAATACGAACAAAATGTACAGAAAGTTTGTTTGTTTGCTCATTTATTTGTTTATTTACCTGCTCTCGTGATGTTACTTCAGCCTGAAGTGCCCCAAACGCGTAAAATAGCGAAGAAAACACCGGACTACTAATAGCCAGTACATACCGATGGGCAGGAATGGAAGTTTTCTCTGTCCTGCCGACCAGAAAACGCACATCACTAAACAGCTCTCGGTTAAACATGTATTTGTTTCTTTCACGAAGGGAACTGCGACTGGTCTGCCACTGGTCATCTTCCCCAGTGTAACGCAGGCTCGCGCGTAGAGCCAATTTGCTGCCATAGTAGTCCATTCTAGAATCCAGTCGAGTCTCAATAACCGGACGATCCAGTTTTGAATCCTGTCTCGAGTCCAGTTTTTTAGGCGGAAACGCGTCCATGCCAACTTCACCCATCTACAATCGAAATAAAGATTAGATCGTGAGCAGCTTGAGATTTAGTATTACCAGGAGTTAGATTTTGTGGGGGTGGGGGGAAAGAAAGGAATCTTTTCCCTCTGGCAACTTTATCTTTCACTTCTTCGGCGGTCACACAGACTCAGCGTATTATCGTGTTCAGGAACAAGTTGGCGAAGCATCCAACAGCGTCGTCCATGGTGAAAATGTTTTCACACTAATGCTGATTGATTGATCATGGTAAAAGGACTGAGTGGAGTCCAGTTCGGTCGGTAATAATACGAGTGATTAACACAATTGGACGACCGCGAAGCGGGAGTCCAATTTGTCAGTCACTCGTATGATTACAGACAGAATTGGATGACAAGAAGTCCTGTTACCAATTAATCATAACCGATTCAATTTCCGAAAACAATAAATACATTTAGGTCAAATATCTCCGGTAGAGACAATGTCTAAAGTAAAAAAATTTCTCCATTTTGGAAATTCTTCAATTTTTTTGTTTAGGATGTGGCTGTTGCTATGGTTATTGTGTTTAAATCTGTGATTGGTGGATTTGGCTGAGTGGTCATAGTATGATTGACTACTTCAACTGTCCGATCACAGGTATCTGATTACAGCCAACTGTCTGATTACACTGTTCGATTACAGCTCTACAGAATGATTAGTGAAAAATAAAGCAGCTAATACGCCAATCACGTTTGAGGAAATTGGTATGGTTATGATTAAAGAAAATAATAGAACCGATTTTATTCTTCATTCATTTTAACCTGGGCTCAACAATAAACTATTGTGAAATCTTTCTATTTAACTGTGATCACCTGCCTCAGAATCAGAGGTGGGCAATCAATTATCTGAACACGCTATTCCTTTGTTTTGTTCTACTAAAGATCATCACCCGCTGATATTTATAGCGTCTTTCGATGAAATTTTCGTAACGAAGAACCTTTAAACTGAAACATGTTATTTCAAGATCTAACCATTCCCTGGCTCGCTCGTTTTTTACAATTTTGTTCTGTTTAGTTTAGAATTCTGCTAATGTGGATGAATCTTATGAAACTTTATCTGTGAATCTTTATCTTAATCGCTTAATAAAGAATTTCTGACAGCTTTTAAAAATACTGAAAAGACCTAAAACGAAATCATGATTTTAAAATGATTAAGCATCCTTTTATCTGTCGAATGGAAAGTATAGATTAAGACGTTAATTTTCAAACCTGCGAACTTTAGAAGCGCTCAATGGAATTGAAGAGTCGAACCTATTACTTCTGAAAAAAATTATCATTACATAGCGTACTTTCACAATATTAACTAAAATACTGCTGGTCTAACCCACGCCGTTTAATCCCCGATTCATATCAAAAGTTGTGATAACTTTCTCGTACATTAAAAAAAATTATTTTGTTACTATATTAATACATTTTTCCTCCAAGTAAAAGATGAGAAAACACATTCGTCTAGTGGAAGGTTTTTCCTTGATGTAAGACTATAAATTAAGAAGATGGTGGGAAATTTTTCCTTTTATCCTGTGGGTTAAGGTACTGATGTTAACAGAGTTTAACTGAAGGATATAGTTCATATAGTGCCTACTTTCGTTTTTAGCATTAATCTTAATGTGAACCTTACCGCGTGTAAATAAATCGCTTGGAACCCCCAAAATGTTCCACAGGATGTATGATTCAGCTAGTATACCGAAGACCACTGATAACACCCCAGCGGCGTGATTCAAAGCTTGTGCCTTGTCTACAGTCAGAAAAAAAACAGTCAGTGAAACAAAAGATTTTCTTTTCGTGATAGAAACCTGGTTCTTAATAGGTGTAAACAACTTGAAACGTATATAGCCAATAGAACCTTTATCTATGTGATGTCCTTGATAAAAATAAATACATCAACTCTCTTATTCAAACATATTTTTCTTTCAAAGGAGAAATATAAATACAGATATCATAAACTGTTTTAATTCGCTTCTTCTAAATTCTCTTTTCTATTCTTTGAATAGCTCTTACACCCGGCTTCAATAAGTACAAAACAAATATGCTTGGTGTTTTCGATTTCAAACTGGGCGCTATCAAAGTAGAACGTCTATGAAAGGCCTGGATTCATAGAACCGCATCGATTCCCTATGGGTAACTGACTCAGATTTTTCTTCTTCTTACGGTAATGAGAAATATATTTAAAACATTTTTCCCTCTAGTATTGCTTCATTGTGTTATATAGATCACAAAAGAAACGGAAAACAAACAAACAAAGCGAAAAAAAAAAGAAAAAAAAAACAGCTACAAAGCAACATAAACGCTTGGCAAGTAACGAAGGAGAACCAAGGGTATAACTGCTATTTCAAATTTACTCCAGCTCGCGTGTAAAACGTTTTTTTTCTGTAAATGACTGTAAAAGTATGAAAATCATATATGTGAACTGCGTTTGAAGAAACGCCTTGTTGCAAGGAAACAGCAAAGTGCGAAAGACCCCCCCCCCCCCCCTCGTGTGGCCTAGTAATGGTCACTGATCTTGTAAGAACTTCTTTATGCGGAACCGAGTAAGCAGAATCTGATATTCCGTTTCCGGTTTCATAATTGACTTAAGCAAAATATAAAACTGCTTTGTTCAGCAAGATAAAGGAATTTCACTTGAAGACTGTTCCTCTATTGTCTATTTCGGCGTGTGGGATTTTAATTAGATTAAAATCTGCCTGATAGTTGTTTAGAAATTGTTGGAAATTATTGTTTCTCTTAGTGGACTAGAAAAATTTACTGCAACTTATTTGGAGAGGATCTTTCTAGAAAGTTCTAGAAATATTTTTGTGTAGAAATGTGCTACCTCAGCAAATCGTGCGAGAGTCCCTGTGCAAAAGCGCCACGTTTACAGACACATGCGCAGTGGACACGACAGAGGTATCAGTGTCTATTCATCACGGAAAAAAATTACGTCATTCATAATTGTGAACCAATCAGGTAGGCGATTAGAAAAGAAGACAACAAATATGGCGGTCGCAGTGTGGAGACGCGTGTGCATGCATGTGAAAAGCAGTTTCGTTTAGGTTTGCAGAAGGGAATGGAGGATTTTCCTCTTTTCTTAAGAGAAGGCCTAATGATGTTTCAGTAGAAGGATGAAAAGTGCCCTAAAAGCGTCGGTAGCCTTGCAATTTATCACTTTAATGGCAGAGATAATTTCACTGGACGGGAATGGGAAATCGAAGGATGAAAAACCCAGTGGTTTGTCTGCTCGGAGTAGCTCGTGGTAAGGAGAAAAAGATTATGAGAGCACGTTATTGACCTTCCTTTTCATCTCTAAATTGATTCTTCTGGCGTTTTTTTTTTTAGTTCACTTGTAATAGTAAGTACGTTGGATGGGAAGTTAAGTGCGTTGGATACAAGAGATAATGGCAAGTTACTGTGGAGTTTACCAGCTTTCCACGGACCTCTGTTGTCATCCAGCCTCAGTTCAGTTCAGGTATTTTTTGATAAAGTTTTCTTCTCTTCCATATAGGTTTTCTAAATCTTTCAGCGTGGGCGGTGCAAGGTAACTGTTAGCTCTTGATGTAATCAAAGCAAACGGATGCATTATCCGTCGGATGAAACGAATTCTGTGCGAAAGGCGAGGGAATCCCCAGAGTGAAAAGTCAGAATATTTGCATTTGATTCTTCGATGCTAGCATTTGTGTGAACCAGACTACGTCTGATTTAATGCTAGTTCTATATTGTGCCCAACTCTCCCTTGATTAGGGAAGAGGAATTTTCTCCCAAATTAAGTGCTCCACCACACCGTCGCTGTCAAAATGTGCATGAGATTCTGACTTGTATCAACAAAATACCTCATGTACTTCCAAACTACTAGAAGACAGGTATACTCTAACAAAGTTATTTGCCAGAAACACAAATTAGGCTGTGAGTTTTGCTGTATGATAGCTACTTAATAAGATGTGCTATGTCATCATATTTTTACAGATGGCAAAACACGTGGGTCTGATACCCTCATTGGATGGTGGATTGTATCAAGTCAGTGGAGACAAAGTTGAGGTAAACATGATTAAATCAAACAGTAATCAGGTTCTCAGCTCAAGTACTTTTGAAATGGTAATTTGGTAACCAGAAAGTTTGAATGGTCACCTGAAAGAAAAGTTTCATTGCCAGAAAAAAAGAAGAGAAAAGAGTGCTGTTTATAATTATATTTTATTGAGCACTCAGCCGTAAAAAATATTGCTTGTCTCTGAAATATAGGATTATCATTGGCTCTCATATTTTTATTTTGAGTGGGAAGGAATATTTTAGCAACAAGTAAGGCTAAATACTCAGACAACCAACAAGAAAGAGACAATTTTTTAAAAGAAGAAAACCAGATAGTGTTAATAGTGTTGAATGCAAGTTTTTCGTCACTGTATACAATTGAAATAAGATAAGAAATATATATATATTACAGCATGTAACATGACTAGCAGATAAAGCTGGTTAAAGCAATGATAATCACTGATAATTTAGTTTGAAATAGGAAACTCTTTTCACATTTTGTGTACAAATTTCGCTTTCATTTTTGGACCTACGTTTTCCAAATATAGACTGTAATAATGCCTTTTTTATTGTGATGATTTGTTTAAGTCTTAAAAATCCATACAATAATTTGTAGAGTTTTTCTATAAAGCAGTTGTAGAATTTTTCTGTCTAGTGGTTGTAAATGATTCTTTTGAAATGATACATGTACCTTAGATGAGAAGCAGAAAGCAAATAAACATTCTGCTATACAAAGCATCATGCACAGTGTGATACAACTTTTTATCATGTGACCTGTTTGGCCCAGTGTGCTTTTAGTGAAAAACATAATGGAAAAAAAAAATAGGAAGAAGGAAAGTTTTCTGCCTGGTTTTCTTTATCTGAATGGTCTTAGTTTCATTGGATGTGCTTTAAGTTTTACAAATACTGATTTCAGTTTTTAATTTTCTATCCACAGCCCATTCCTTTCACTGCTGACACACTCCTTGGTTCCTTCCTAAAGCTTCCTGATGGTTCAATTTTAGTTGGTGGGAAGGAAGCCACTTCATGTGGACTTAATCCCTATTCTGGGAAGGTTAGGTTGTTTTTGAAGGGAGTCCTTAAACTATAACATTATTTAATTCTTTTGGCTCTCGACAACCTTGGGTAGAGTTGGTTAGAGAATGGATGAAAACATCAAATCATGATGCAAACTTAGAAATAAGTTTCAGTTCCGTAATGTTTCAATTTACTCAGTATACTATATCTGAATTCATAAGTAATAGCTGCTGGTGGTAGGTTTCATGTCCTTTTTTATGTGTATAGAGACAGATCAGCTGATCTGATTGTCCAATACCCTATTCACACTAGCAAAATGTGTTTTTTTAAACTGGTTTTTACTGAATGAAAATCATAAACGGAGAACTGAAAAACATAATTTTCCATAGGATTCAAATACTTGCTAACTTGCATTTCCAGTGTGCTAAATTTTAGTACAAAAATGTTAGGTTAAGTAGTTTCTAGGAAGAAAAAAACTAAACTGTGTTAAACATTAAACAACTTTAAAACGTGTTTAAGCTTTGGTGTGAATGGGGTGTAAGTGAGAGTAGTCTGGAAACAGCCTTGTTGTTTGTGTTGGGGACTGATGTTTTGGTAACGATCGGGGAATCCATTATTACACAACTGTATTGGTGAGGAGTTGTCTGTCAGCTGGAGTGGATAATATTTTTTTAAAGCATTTTGATTCAAAACCTGGGTTATAAAGAAATGTATTTATTAGGTAGATGGGAGGGGAGAATGGCTAAAATTAAATAAATCTGATTTTAGAGGTGTCCTACTAAATGTGTTGTCTTTCATTCAGTAATGCTTGATGTTATTATTCCAATGCGATTTTCATTCTAATTAAAGGCACAATTTTGTTTCATAATAGGTACAGTATGTCTGTTCAGCTGATGGCTGTCAGTTAAAGGAGTCTGATGAGCAGCATGTCCACGGCAAGGATGTTCTTGTACTTAAAAGAACACAGCAGACAATCCGTGCTGTTGATCAGAGAACAGGCATTGAAAGGTATTCACTACAGTAGGCAGCTCTGTCATATCATTATTGTTCTCATCAATCATGCAGTACATATGCTGAGTTTCAATGTGCCCCTGGTGTAAATCTTTTTGAGCACTTTGAACTCTCATCTCCTCTTTTTCGCATTTCTTGTTACCATTTGAAATTAAGGGAAAATTTGCAGCCTAACTAATATATGTCATTGAAAATTTAATGTTCATCATAGTCTTTTTAGATAAATTAACAATAAAAAAGAGTAGTTATTATGATCAAAACTCAATTTGCTCTGATTCCAATAATCATGCTCTAATCAGTCATTACTGAAGCCTGTTTTCTGATTGTTTTGTGTTTTAGATGGAACTTTTCTGTTGGACAACATGATGTAAGCTTCTTGGAAGCTGTTTTAAATGAAGAAGATGATGCTCACTGCTCTGCTGAGGATGCTGAAGTGTTTACAGAATGGAATCTGCGTGTGTCCATTCCCAATGGACTTGTAGCAGCAGTAAACACTCTTGATGCAACAGAGACTGAAGTAGTGTTATGGAGTCACCAGTTTGATTCCCCTATAGCAGCAGTATGGAGGCTGAATGGGGGTTTTGTACAACCAGTAAAATTATTCACAAAAGAAGTTACACCAGAATTGGCTCACTCATCTGACCAAGTGGCATTTCCACAGGGACCAGTGATGTATATAGGTAAGGTATTCTCATTGATTTGGTGATCTTTGTATTAATAACTTCAGTATGGTCCTATACATTTATTTACTGTATATCTACATGTACACTTCAATTTACTAGGTTTGCTATCCTGGGGTTTTTCTGGACCTCTGATGCTATAAAAAGAGAGTTCAATGTAGACTTTGTCATTATCCATTGTACTGTTAGCACAGTTTAAGAGAAGTTTGCTGATCAAGTATTTGAGCCTTGTTTTTTTTAGTACATGAAACAACTGTTGGTGCTAACTTATAATGTTTCTCTTTTTCGTAAGACCTTTGTACAGGATATGTCTTATGTAAAGCATAATCTACAATATACGTTCGCATATAAAATGTTTTCATGAAGGTTTTTTACACAACAAACAATTACCTCCTTTGGGCAAATGTAACCCCATTAACCATACAATCATATAGTTGTATAATATATATATATTTTTGTTTTTAACCCCTCATAAGGCCTTACAGTGGTCAAATTGGGAAACAGGAAAGCTTAGGATGGTACATGTTATGTTGCGTTGACTCTGTGTCTTTGTGTTAGAATTACTGAATATTGGATTCACACTCTTGATGCTACCTTTAGATGCATAGCAACATTTCACTTGCTTCAAGCTGAGGCCTGTTTCTCAAAAATCCTGCTACCTTACTGATCTTGAAGCCATATTTTACAATAAAAATGTAAAGAATAGAGAAGTAGATTGTGGCTCCCCAACCAGTCCATTTTGTGTATTTAGTTAATAGATTTATTTTAAGTTTTTCAAAAATTTTGAAACCCTCTTCTTAAATGAGAAAAGAACAGCATTACAGGCCCATTAAGTTAACAGGACCTTCAAGAAACAGGCCCCTAGACACAATTAATTTTTTCCCAAGTTACTTGATATTTTGTAATAATTATTGATAATAATTGTAGTTGCAGTATTGAAATTTGAAATTTGGTATACCGATGCACTTATAGATAATTTAATGGAATACAACTTTAAAACAATCACAAATTGTACAACTTGGCATTTTGATTGCCAAGGACCAATTTCCCCAAAGCAACAACAATTTTTCATATGGTCAGCTCAACTGTACTACTTCAGCTTTGTTAATAGCATTGAAAAATTTAGTTTGTTTCCCTCCTATCTTCCAGGAAAACATGAAGGTCAAGTTTACATTCAGACATCAGAGCCATTTAATCCAGCTCAGGAAAACGTAGTGGCTAGAATTGATGATGTTAGTGGCAAAGCAGTGGCACAAAGATTCAGGAAGGTTACATGGAGGCCATATTTGACAAGTTCACCATCACGTACACCAACTGTGGTTACAAAGGAGTTAGCTGTGTGGAATCCTCTGGAATATCCATTTGGTAAATTGAGATCAATTATGTGTTTCAGACTATTTTGCATGAGAAGGAGTTTTAAATAAAAGATAAACACATGATGCCTATAAAAATCAAAGGTTGACTTTGTGATAGAATTACAAATTTTCTTGTTGTGAAAAATCTATGATCATTTCATTCTCCCTCCTGGGAAATAGGTATTTAGTAGACTGAAAATAGGCAATAATTATGCTTACATGTTGTTATTCAAGAATGACTTGTTTTAGTTGCTGCAACTCGCCAATCTTTTCTAGTGGTTTCTCTAGTTGAACATGATTGCCATGGTTCTGGAAATTGTCTGGGAAAAATTCCTTAAAGTGAGGGAAAAGTCTTTGACTATTATTTAGAGTTGTGGTAATTTTAAATTTTGAAGACAATTCAGCGAACATTGAAACCATAACTCCATCTTTTGTCTCATCTTTTGTTGAGGCTGTAACATTCTGACTGATTAAGTACATACCTCACAACTGAATAGCAATTTTTGTGTGGCTGATTGGCTAGTTTGGTTGTGAATCAGAATAGCAAGTACTATACACTGTACACCTCCTAGCAGCTGATGAGACAAAATTGTACATCATGAGTTTAATTTTCCACCATTCCTTCAGTATATTGAAAGAAATAAACTAAGTTTTTGGTATCTGTGTGGTATATACTAATTTAAAAAATTATTCACCTCCACTTGGGTGAATAATTGTTAATTATGATGAATATATGAATGGTCAGAAAGGAAGCTTGCACAGGGAGTCTAAAATAACTGACAGAAACTGTTTGTTACAATTTTTTTTTATAATTAGTCAGGGAAGCTTTTCTTTTGTTAGGGGGAAGTCAGGGAAAATTTTTAAAACTGATGTCTGTGGCTGCCATGTAGAAGGACATAAACCAGTTTTAACTCCTCCTGGGTGAGAGATTAGTTTGAAGTTAAGCATGTAATGAAACACTGTCAATTTTGGTATCCTATTGATTTGTAGATAATGGCTATTACTTGTTGGGTGAAGTGATGCCTGTGGTTCCTCAACATACCCAGGATAAGCAACTTCTTCCAGTAGACTCTGAGGATGTTTTCAACAGAAAATCCAAGAACTCTTCTGAAAAAGCATTGAATCGTAATGATCTCTCAGGATGGTGGTAAGAATAACTGTCTGAAATGAATCTAAGTATAAATTTTGCAACTTTGTTTTTGAGCTTAATGTTTAAATGTTGTTAATATTAATTTACAATACTAATGATACTATCATACAATACCACAAAAGCACAGACAAGATTAGGAAGATCGAACTTCAAAACTTTCATTATTGTTTAACAATGAGTTATAACCAAGACACAAAATTATATGTACATTTAAGAACTACAGTTTAGATTTAAATTTTGTAACTTAATGTGATAATACTATTATTGATAATTCAATAAAGCAACACTTTCTTAGATAATTCAGGTACAGGCTGTGTTACCTTTTCTTTCTTAAGAAGCTGCTCTGTGTTTTAAAAAAGCACTTTTAGGGGCAAACATACGATGAAGTATTAAGAGCACAGCTAATGCTTGCAGGAATTATTTCAATTACAGTCATTGTGTTTATTTACTAATACATGTACACCATACTGATGGAATAAACATGAAATGTTTCTCTTGTAAGGTATGGTGCCCTGTTTGTAACAGCTGTTGTTGCTGTCATGGTCCAGTTTTTTTTGCACTTCTTTCCTGGATCCAACAAGAGAAACGTGAGTGTTTGAACCCTTCCGCCTTTCACATCTTATCAGCACTTCTTTGTTTTCTTTTATTCCACAAAATTTGGTGTTAAACTTCATGATGTAGGAATCCTTAAATTCGATTGATTCATTTGATATAAATCTCTTATTTTACTTCAGCCTGAAGCAATAACTCAGGACCAGAAGTTGTCTTCTGCTACATTAACATCATCCCCACATTCTTCTACAGCATCAATGGAGACTATCAAGGTATATGGAGAAATATCTTTACAGGTTATTGTGCTGTTATATAATTATTATGTGCTGGAAGGTAGCTTACCAATGTCATTCAACAGGTGCAAAAGATGGGTACAAGAACATGCTGAACTTACATTGTTATTAATGCCTCCAAAGAAAATTTTTACTTGATTTAAATGTACAATTTCTATTCAAGCTTTGCAGTGCCAATAACTAAACTTAAAAACAGACCAATCAGTTTCCACAAACCAGAGCATTAACACTACCTAAGAAACTCCTTACATGACAATGATTTCTGATCAGGTTGTTGTTAATGTTAGTTGTTCTCCTTGACTAATTCAAACACTCACTGAGAAAATGCTCTAAGCAATTTTCAGAGACTGAGAGGCTTTTCTCTTGAAATGATAGTCTCATCTTGCAAACTGTTTTATACTCTAGTTAGGCTTCTGCGCAACTTGTTCAGTATTCTTTCTCTCACTCACAGGAACCATCAACTCCAACCACACCAGATTCTTTATCACAGACAAACTCTTTTGTCTCAAGGTGAGTCACCAAGCTTGTAAGTTAAGTCAGTTACTAATCAATTGAATTTGTTTATGGAAAGTGATGCACAAAACCCAAGAATTGCTTTGCTTGTCTGAGTTTTATTGATAAAAGGGGGAACAGAAGATTTTCCTGGGTCTGTGTTTTTACAACTTGTTTGATTCTCTTTATCCATTCTTTACACTTTCCCCCCCCCCCCCCTTTATTGCTTCAACATTACTTGAAGCTGAGGATCATCATATTGTGTTTGAAACATATCAATGTATCTGGTATTAAGGTCAAAAGGTTTATTATTTTCATCAGAAAATAGCTGTTATTTTTATTTTGCATTTGCAGATATGTAACTGATTTTGATCATGAACTGTGCCTTGGCAAGGGAGGCTTTGGCCTTGTGTTTCAAGCGAAGAATAAAATGGATGAATGCAATTATGCTGTCAAGAGGATAAGTTTACCAAACTGGTAATTAATTGGCTGAGTTAATGAAAAACTTTAAGACTTGAGGATAATACAAAGTCATTGTCTTATTGTAATGTTGTTGATATGCTTTCATTTAAATAGAAATAAGTTTCAGATATTAATTAAAATGAAGGGAATGTAAATTACCTTTGGCCTCTTTTTTTCAAAACAAGGCCTTGTGCTCAATTTTTAATCATATGAAAAGATAAGCACCAGGACTCATTTTGAAAAACAGGCTAAAGGTTATTTGGAAATGGGCTATTGTATAGTCACATGTAACAATTAAGTCTCAAAGGCTGAAGCTCTCGCATTTTTCGAATTACGGTCAACTCGCCGACGGACCAACTCGCCGACGCCAACTCGCCAACGTATAAAATCAAGAGGAGACGTCGGCGAGTTGGTCGTCAATCCAATACAACTTATTAGAAGTTAAACATACAGAAAATTAAATGATATTTAGTAAAAAAACACTGGTGAACATTGGTGAACATCTAACAGAAGCTTAAACATTGGTGAACATTGGTGAACATCACCAATGACTATAACAGCTTAACTCGTTTGCATCTTAAGCTGTTATAGTCATTGGTGATGTTCACCAATGTTCACCAATGTTTAAGTAGATGTTCACCAATGTTCACATGTACTAAATATCACTTTTCTGTATTTTAAGTCTCAAACTCGGCTCTATTTTATACGAAGCCATCGGCGAGTTGACTGGTTACATTTTTCAGAACCACAAAATCCAAAAATGAATGTTAGGTGGCTAAGTTTTACCATCAATTTTCAATTGTTACCTGGCAAACAATTACTTAATGTTCTCCCACTCATATAAGCCCTTATGGTGATGGTGGGAGGGGGAGTTGGGGTGGGAGAGGGGCTTAACCCTTTACACCTTAACATCAGTATGCATATTCTCCATACTACTCTCTATATATTTCCTAATGTGCTAGCAAGGAGAATTTGTTTAACAATCGAGAGGTTCTTTAGTTGATTATCATTTCCTTTATTCTCCTGACCCTATTGTTTGATTCAGGGGTGATATTGAAAGGAGAAATTAGATGCTAGTCGCTCTCAGTGATTAAAGGGTTAAAGAGAGGGGAGGGTGGCCTATCAAATTTCTTTGAATGCCAAAATGTGAGCCATATACAGAGTAAATTTTTTGTTGGAAAATCCATCAAGATGTTAGGCAAAACTAATGTAGGCTTTCATATAAAATCATATTTTGTACAGGACTGTTACCTAGCCCATATAAATAACACAGATATCTTAACAGTGTTAAAATTGTTTTGTTGTTTTCTTGGGTGTATTTAGTTTTATAGTTTTTATGTAGGAAGTGTTGGAGGCTCATTAGAACATAATTGTTTTTTTACTTTTATTAGTTCTTTCAACTGATTGAATATTTCTCTTTAAGGAGACATACTATATTTTCTCTTTCTCCAGTGATGCAGCAAGGGAAAAAGTGAAACGGGAAGTGAAAGCCTTGGCAAAACTTGAACATCCTAGCATAGTGCGATATTACAACTCATGGTTTGAAGAACCACCTGTTGGCTGGCAGGATGATTTTGATGCACAAATGTTGGCAGAAGGGTATAGACTCATCAGTCTTTTGTTTGTATTTAAAATTATTCCAAGGGAAATTACATATGATTGAATGGAAAAGTCTGATTGTTTTTTTGTTTTTTTTTTAATATTGATTTCTTCATTTGTTTGTTTGATTATGAAGGGAATTCAGTGAATTGCCATCAGAAGCACCTTCAATTGGTTCAGGGATTGCAATGCATGCATTACCAAATGATGCCTTGTACTTGCAAAATGGTGAGGCCTCATGAGGTTAATTTGGTGTTGTTGGTTAGGGCTATGTTCTTAATTTTTTTAGTTAAAGAAACTTGATGATTGGTTGAGATGGGCAAACTGATATGAACTGCTGAATTTCTCCTATCTGATTTCTGAAACTCTCCAGTCATCATTGGTGATTATTTTAAATTACTATATTTCTCTAGCACAGTTTGTAGAACATACATTTTCATACATGCCTACATATATTGGCAATATGTCTCAGAAAGTACCAAAAGGAAATTAAATGAAAAAAGAACACATTGAGCTAACTCTTTTACACCCTCCCATCAGTATGCATAGTCTCCATACTGTACTCTATATATTTCCTTAGGTGTTGACAAGGAGAATTTGTTTATCAATCAAGAGTTTCTTTAGTTGGTGATCATTTTTTTTATTTTTGTGACCTCAGTGTGTGCTCTGATAGTTATATTCTAAGGAGAAGTTAGATGCTAGTCACACATAAGGTTCCAGGGTTAATAAGGTAAAACGAAATTTATAGTATGAAACTTAATGTCTTGAAATATTTTTGCAAACCTGTAGGCATAAGTGAAGAAAAGAAGGCTAGAAGAAGGAAGAAAACAAATTCCTGCAGCCGATCCAGGCATTCATCTTATCACTCTAATCCAGATGAGGACAATGGAAAAATTAATAAGGAGATCATTGATATCCATCAGTTAGAGAATGAAGCATTTCTAGATAGAAATGAAATCAGTGATTCTTTTAGTATAGAATTTGCTTCATCAAGTAACAAAGAACTGACAGTACCCAAAAATGGATTTTACCACAATGCCTTGGAGGAAAGTTCATCACATGGCATCATCTTCAGACATTCAGACTCTGGCTTGAGTCAAAACAAGGTTTGTTTAATGATAGGAATAACAGTATATAACAGAGTGCTGTTCATAGATAAACTGTAAGCTTAAAAGGTTGTGCTAAGTTTAATTTTTTTTTTTTTTTTGACCTGCTGAATTTTTTGAGAAAACTCCTCAAAACTGTTGAGCTAATAGTAAATGTTTATATCTTACACTCCTGGTAGTGTAGATACATCTGTCCTCAAATAGTTACCACATTGACCTGTTATCAACTAAGAATTTGATTATGAGCTTAGGATTTCTACCATGTGACGAGGAAATAGTCTAAATCAACCCTCATTAGAATTTTCATTTTGTGTTATTTTCTTTGTAGGATGTTAACATAGGCAACATTGGATCATTGTCATCATCTGATAGCACACAGGATTCCATGTCCAAGGAAACAAGCTCCTCAGAAGAACTCTGGTTAACCTCTTCACATCACTCCTTACTTTCCAGTAAGATGAACATAATTTGCCTACATGTGACCAAACATACAAGAAAACTGTAATTTTTCAAGTTCTGCCTAAGTATGTTATATTGCACTTAAATTGTTTTGTGAAAGGGAAATAGACACCTTTCTTTGGCCTCTTATCTTGTTGAAAAGAGGTGAAGCAGCTTTAAAACATAACCAGAGAGATTTTAGCTGATAAATGTATCAGTTAATTCTTTCTTTTTTCCTATGTTGCTACCAACTTTGAAGGCTCTCTTCTAGTTTTGTACGGAAGCTAAGATGATTGGAGGCTATCTTAATGTTTCTCCAAAGACTTTGCAAATATTTGCCTCTTACAGTTTCTATTTGGAATAGAAATTGAATTTAACTCTTAAAATTTTTACCAATGCTTGTGTTTAAATTTCCTGTCCAAAAGTGTTTGGATGAGTATTAACATGCAATATATGACCAGGAACTCAATTTTCTGATGCTTAATTCATTAAATGAGTTCCAGGCCCTTAAGCTCATCTGGCTTTAAACATTATAACTATGTTTATGTTTTAGGAGAGAAGCATAACTGTCAGGATGAGCAATGCAATGCTGATAAGCTGTCAGCACCATTGTACCTATATATCCAGATGCAGCTTTGTCAGCAAGAAAGCTTGAAAGACTGGCTCAAAGCTAATCATGAAAGGGACCACGGATACTGCCTGAATGTCTTTGAAGAGGTATCATTTTACTTAAGAAATGAGCACATTACTGGCATTGTTTTGTCTTTTGTTCTTCTCAAACAGACAAAGATTTGGTTTAAGATGCTTAGTTTCATCTTATCAATTATCTGGTGTACATGTGAAGCAAAACCTCTTGATTAAAAATAATTAGCCCAAGCCTAGAATGTGGAAAATGCCAAGGTTGTTATGTGGGAGTAAAGACATTTCTATTTCTGTAAAATGCATCTTCCATGATGATGGAATTCCAACATATTGTTAATAGCAAATAGGCTGATTATTTATTGCATGTTACAGATCCTAGGTGCTGTTGAGCACTTTCATGGAAAAGGACTTATGCACAGAGATTTAAAGGTAAGGGCAATTTTACAAACAAATGGAAAAGAGGCAGAACTGTAAGGGGTCATAAAGTCAACTTGTAATTAAGGATCATGGCAAATTCACTTTTTATGCAATGTTTCATCTTAAATTAATTTTGTAATTGAAGCAGCTTATGGACACAGTGATTCATTTTCTATCAAAAATGTGAAATATGTAGCCAGTAACTTTGAAGTCCCTTTTCTCATAGATTTACAGGCTAGTAATACAGGGTAACATTTTGTTCAATGAATATTGCCTCAGTGTGTAAATATTAGTTTCAACTTTGAAATAATCATATTTTTCCAAACATTGAAATATATCTCTATTCAATTTCACAGCCATCTAATATCTTCTTTTCACTGGATGGCTCAGTGAAAGTCGGTGATTTTGGATTAGTGACAGCCCACACATCAGAAAACAACCTGGACACACCCATTAAAGGTATGGCAACATTTAAACCAAACTGGACCATTAGAAACATTGACAGACAACTGGGCCTCACATCATCCATCACTAGTTGTAAATTGTCTTGCTTGAAAGAATCAGATTTTTATTGCTACTTGAAAGTTGTTTTGTAGGTTAGCTCTGAGATTATCAAACTGCATTTTTTAGATATTTCTTTGGTATCTGTTTAGATTCTCTAATGGATGACACAAATCATACAAGCCAAGTTGGCACACAGTTGTATATGAGCCCAGAACAGGTAAAATTGTTGTACAGTTTCAGCACATTCATTGAAGCTTGCTTGTAGTGCTGAGTATGAAAAATGGGTGATATAGTTGTGCCAAGTATAAGTACTAGTAACTTGTCATGTTTTAGGCACACACTTGTCTTGGAAAATGCCTTCTGAGCAATAAGTTTTGTACTGCTATTGAATTGGTATGGCATACATGTAAGTAATTTATTTATCAAAGGCAGACTTTGAAAGACCTGTTCTTCACTGTCAAAGATTATTAGCATAATTGTGTATTTGAAAGGAATGCCCATCTTACAAAATTACTGTTCAAGATAAATTTTAGTACTCTTATTTAGAAGTTTTTTTTTTTTTGATTGGTTACCCAAAGATTTCACAGAAAGCATTATTGTTTCCAGTACAGACTAACCTTAATTTCTTTCCTTCTTAATCAGATGGAGGGAAAGGCATATTCCCACAAGGTAGACATCTTTTCCCTTGGACTCATATTTTTTGAGTTGTTTTGTCCATTTGGTACTCAAATGGAAAGAATAAAGGTAAGAAGACCAAGATTGCTAGTAAGTTTTATTAACCAAGCCTGAGGTAGTGAGCTTCTAATATTTTTTAGACTGTTACAGTGCTAAGGGGATGACTTCACTTTCTCTACTGAGAAGTTGATGTTTGCATTCTTTTTAAGAGTTTGCAGCCTTTCTTATTGGCACCTCCCTTCCATTAACTATGTTTTGTGAAATCAACAAATATCTCTTTTTGATTTTTCAATAAAAGTACCTTAATAGGCTTCAGAGTATGTAATTCATACAGAATTTAGTACTGAAGGCTATTGCTTTAGTGAAAGGTGTGGTCCAAGTATGAAAAACATTTAGGTTCAATTCTCAAAACATACAAAAACTGACAAATGGCTGGGCTGGAATTTAACAAATGAATGAAACACTTGATCATTTGGTTATTGCTTCCATTACCAGTGGAAAAAAGGCTTATTAATTTTTTTAGACTCACTGTGTATTTGTTACTGTTAATTACAGGTTATGTGTGGTGTTAAACAGAGGGTGATCCCAGGTGACTTTAAAAAAAAGATGCCACTACAGGTACAGTGTACAGTGCCTTATTTATGTCATATACTGTTGGTAGCTGGTCCCTTTGGTCGTCTCATTTGAATATTTCTTACTTGGGCCTTTAGCTTTAAGGAGCCAGCTAATGTTTCGCACTTGTGAGTTTTGTTTGATATTTTATCTTATTTCTTTTTACGTGCTTTAAAAATTGCATTTTTTTTTGTTCTGATCATATTTTAGTCAGAATTGGTGCAGTGGTTGTTATCTGCAACACCGAAAGCAAGACCAAATGCTACAGAAGTCAAGAACAGTAGTATTCTGAGGAGGATAAGACAACAGGTTTCAGAAAGCCCCAATAGTTAACAAGAAAAAGGTTACAATTCACTTTCAATTTCAAAGGCTGTGCAAAATTACTGGATATCAATTTTCATTAACATGGGGAAACTAAGGGAGATAAATCCTGAGGGAAAATAACTGTCATTGGTCTTTGCACCATTGTGACATGTTCATGCAGTGGAATTATGAAAATTGTGCACATTTTGTTTGAATATTTCCTTATTTCTAAGTAAGTAGAATCCCATTTAATTGGCAGTTCATCCTAAAATGATGTATTTTTTAAGGGAAAATTTTTATATTTTGAAACAAAAAATATGTATTGTTTAGACAGAAATGTACATAAGGCTTGTTATTTATTAGAAATTAGATAAACAGACAAAAATCCTTGCATTTTTTTTCTCTTGTTTATTGTATAAATAGCAACATTGTAAAATATTAGCTGCAAGATAAATTGTATATCAGAAATAAATAGTATCAACAACTCATTGTTGTGTACAAAGTATTAAATGAAGCAATTCTTCAAATTTATAATTCTTCACCAAGAATTGAAATTAATCTGAATCATCAATTGCAAACCAAAATGACATTGAACAAGGGCTTTCAGGCCACTTCTATTTTTCAACAACCAGGTCACATGTGAAAATTGTGTACCATGCAATTTGCATAATCAAAATACGGCTGAAAATTGTCATTATCCTCTATGCCATGTTATTCTTACAAATTACATATGGCACAGTTATGTTTTGTGCAATAAACAAAGAATAGCTATTCAGTTGCCTCTTCCAAACGCATTGTAGGAATTTTAAGAGTTCTCATGAGCCCTCTCATTAAGTATATATATATATATTTTTTGGTCAGTAGTCCTCAGCAGACAAAGTCTTCATTGCTTTTATACAGTCTTCACACTGTTCCTTCGTTATGTTCAGGATGTCCAGCATTTCTGGACTAAACATTGTAACAACATCAACATTAAGCAGATGGCAACGCACTGTTGAGAAAAAAGGAAAAGAGTATTGAATTACTTTCCATGCTTCTCTGGTTTCATTCATCCGTACTGTTGATTGTTTCATACTAACCACTTGCTGTGGATAATGTTTCTTTAACAGTTGCCAAAGTCTTCTCAATTTCACCCATCCTTGATATCATGTTTTCATAGGTATCAGGATATGCTGTTGGTGAAAGACATTTTTATTTCCTCAAAATGATTTGTATCATAGAAGGTTGGCAAGATATAATTAATAAGCGGGTAACAAAGAGCCTGAGTGGTTAAAAAATTGACCACACACACACACGCACAAAAAATCTTTTTGGTGTCTTTTTGCATGAATGGAAATTAATTTGTGGTACTCTCTAAGAATACAGTGCCAAGTAAAATGATGAACCAGTTCAACCATGATAATGTTTCCATGCCCAAACCAAGAACATTGAACCCTGTAACCCACCAGATAAAATTATGATTGAGTTAAAGATTAACATTGTCTTAGTGGATTTTAGTGGAGTCTGGCTCAAGCCATAGTCTCTCCGCAATGCCTTTTGATTTCTTTTGCGTGATTGTTGGTAATCTGGGGGAGGGTCCACTTTTCTCAGTCCACTTGATTTGTCACGAGTGGGTTTAACCCTTAACCCGATATGACACTTCTATTTTTGCAATTACTGGTAAGCATCAACTGCTAGCTTGAGCCAAGCAAATATGGCTCAGCAGTCATTTTAAACTCATATGGCTGTGTATGGCTTACTTTCAGAATCACCAGTTTGACCTTGATCATCACTGCTGAAAGTGATGTCCTAAGACAAATAATTCAGAAAAGTTAATTTGTCGCAGTAACATTGATTTAGTTTAGTTTGGAAACGTGATATACTTAAAAAAATAGACTGTACTTGCTCAAGTAAACTTTAAGAGAGGTATGAATGTAATCTTTTTGGATTTAAAAATATTTTGAAGAAGGCCTTTTTGAAAACGTTTCAACATTTAGCATTCAAGTATGTGTACAAAATATACCGCTGAAACATAACCTGCTTACATTCCATTGCGCCTTGGTTTGTGGCGATCCATTCGCATCCTTGTGGGCTTTTTCCGTGGTGCTATTCATTAAGATAATGGAAATGGGTTCATTATAAGCTGTAAGTAATATCCTTTTTGCCATGGATAATTAAAACTGCTATTACATTGTTTAGTCTCGGTGGTTTTAAATGTACATTTTACTAAGTTCCGAAGCAGCTCATTATATTCTTTTAACAATCCTGAAGTTGATAATCTAGATAAACTACACGGAATATGCAAGAGCCTGAGGTGATGAACGACCGTACAGAGCTGGTAGTTCGACATACTTTTTATGAAAAACCGAAAAAACGCTTTTTCTTTAATTTTCTTTTCACGTGAAACTAATTGATTGCCGAATTCTGGGTTGAAGCCGAAATCACGTTAAGTCAAAATAAAACGCGAAAACTCATTTCTGTCAGAATGGAATTAGCATAAATGTTCACATGGTTACCGAAAGTCTCGACAAAATATATTTTTTTGCCGTCAAATCTGACTATTACATAAATAACATTCCAAATTAGTTTTTTCCCTTTAGAATAGGTAATTAGAGCCAAGGACGTTTATGGGTATTGTGTAAAATATTACCAAAACTCTTCATCATTACAAAACATCTGTTTTCCGGCAAAGTCCAAGTCGTTCCGTGCATCTTCACTAGTAAACTGACAGAAAGGAAATAAAAAAAGAAATAAGCGTTAATTTTGTTTGGCGAACGTGAAGGATGAGCTTCAAACTCATGTTTTCTTCAGGAAAATTTGATCTACACCAACACGACTGGAATTAAAATATTCGGAAAGAACCTGCTTTTCATGTGAATATTTAATGAGAAGGTTTTCAAAACTTGCCAAAATTATCGCTTTTCATTTTGAAGAGCACGTCAATTTAGGCTTGTAGAGAATGGAATATTGTTTATCCTCGAAATGTAAATTTCTTTTCAAAGTTAAAGCTGTTTCCCTAATTTTCTGGATGAAAATGTAAAATTGCGATTGTATGGATACACTATACGAACGTGTGTTTAATTTTAAATCTTTGAAAAATCTTATAGGCATATCGACATTGGACAACAAAAACCTAAGCGTTAATAATTATTTTCAACAGTTCCAGTTGCGTGTAAACACTTAAAATTGTGAAGTTTTTTTACTGAAAATCCGAAATCGTCACCTTGCGAGCTGAGTCTGAATTACAAATCGAGGCGGACATAGGATAAAACAAGCAAAGATATCGGCCTACCTGTGAGCAGACACCTGTATCTGCTCCGTAGTTCTCGCTGCTGTCATTCGTTTGCATATTTAGCGTATATAAAATAAATTATCGTCCCTAAGACGAGTACAACTAGAACAATTGTTGATGCCAACAGGAGTTTTAAATGTACTGGGAGTTCAGGGGTGACCTGACGAACGATTACTTGTCGCTCTAGTCTTTCTGTAGTTGGACGTTCGCCTTCCTCTATTAAAGTTTCGGCCATTGTTAACGCTTGGCATCGTCGCCGCGTTTCAAGCGCGGGAAAATGCTGACAAAATTTATAACAATGGCATTCATTGGATAGGAACTAAATCCTATTCGGATAAACTAAGCCACGTTATCATTGGTTCACCTGACGTCTTGATACAATCGACATATTTTCTGAATTTTCCCTTTTTTCCCTCTTTCTTGTTTCAGTTATTTTAGATATTTATTTATTTTTTTTGATATTGCGTAGATGTTGAAGTACTGTCTAATATCACGAACTTTCTAAAATCCCAGTCAGTGATCATAAAAATCTTATTTCTAAAGCATAAAAATAACCTAGAGATTTTTAGAAGGGCACAGTTCATTTTTCGTGACTTATTACAGAGGTGACTCTTTCATATATAATAAGGTTAACGCTCATAATTCATAATTCAGTATGAAGCACTTGGCTATTAGCCAGTTTGACCACTTCGATGATCGAAGGAGATAAGTGCCTGGGCACGTGGCAACTCAATCAAGTAATTATCAGCCATCAAGTGATTATCAATAATTGGTGCTGCTTCGGTGGGAGTATAACAACTTAAGTTGGTTTTATCCACTGAGTTAATGATGAAAATTGGCCACTGTAAAGAGTTTCTGAAGCTGACGTTTTGCGCGTTAGCCCTTCGCCAGAGCGTATGGAGAACATGTGCGTTGTGTGTGTTTTATATGTACAAAATGGAACTACGGTATCGATGGGAACTTAGTATTAGAATTAATGTTTGAATGGGGCTTTGTCATTGCTTTTACGTCACGAAGGTGTTCTCGGAATCGGTCGCCTAGTCGTCTTTCTGTTTCGCCAATGTGATACCTTTTGTAAGGAGTGCAAGTTATACAAAAGATGACATTGGCGGACATGCACGTGAAATGTTTATTAATCTTAATGGATCTCTTGGGTCCCGATATTTTCGCAGAAGTTACGAATGAAAGGACAAGTTTTGCATCGTGTGCGCGCATCCGGGTTGATCATTAGCGAAGCGGGAGTCCGATTTGTTAATCACGAGTATGATTACAGACAGAATTGGACGACACGAACTCCTGTTACCAATTAATCAAAACTATGACAAAATTTGAGAAAGAAACTAGACATCGGTTATATGTTTTCATGAAAAAAAAACATCAGTTAACTCGGCGAAATGCGAGACAATAGCGCGCGCACATGACGCGTTCTGTCTATTTACACAGGCATGACATGTGAACTGTCCTTTTAACTGTCCTATTGCATTTTCCAATTACAAGAATGACCGTAAACTGTCCTATTACACTGTTCAATTACAAGCATGACGCATACACCGTCCTATTAGTGCTCTTATCGGGCTGCTGATAACCAATCACGTTCGAGAATGTTGTTATAGTTTTGATTAGAGCTGAAATCACAAGTATGATTTCAGACCAAAATTACACGACACGAGGTTCAATTAGCGCTTTATTACATCCATCTTGGAATCGCTCAAATACAGGGCTTGGTAAGTTCAAATATTTTATTGATGCAGTACTGAGCCGGTTTGAAATTAAATTCATCCATTTTTTGGGGGGAAAAAATAAGAGTTTTGGTAACAAACGTTGCAAAATTTGCCACATGACACTCTTTGTCTCTAATTTTCTGCAATTTGATGGGTTACTTTAAACAAGCCTTGAAACCTGATTGCTTGTTTTGTTTTTAGTGTAGCCTCTTCATTGGCTGAGAAAAAGATGCGATTTAAAGCAAAAAATGGTGCGATTCGTGAATAAATCGCACCTATTAGAGCCAATCAGATTACAGGGACCATCAGTGATTTCAAAATGGGTGTAATAAAAGCAGATAGTTTTTTAAGCTCGACAAATATTGTAGAAAATGAGTCAGTTGTCGTAAATCACATAAAGGAATCGCAACCACCTATCAAAAATCAAATAACTTCCTCTACGCAAGCTCCTCCCTCCTCAAAAGTGCCTATTGAAATTTAGCTGCAAGAAGAGGCAGTCCGTTATTTATTCAAGCACTGGACTTGCTGGGTACTAGGTTGTGCTTATCGAGATATTTGCCTTCTAATGAATTCAATTGGCCAATGTTTGGTATTTTGTTTACAAGCTCAGCTGTGACGCGAGTCACGCTTATTTCTGGACCTGTCAAGTTAATTAGTAATAGCCTATCCATGTAATTCAGGGCTTACGCTCCCTTAAGCTATCGAGTACCATATTTGTCGAAGTCGAAGTAAGGAGTTAGGAGTCATTTCTGTAAACACAACTTCTTATCATTCTTGGAGCTGGAGTTGGACAGTGTAAGTTTGTATTTCTTTCGATCTTCTGTTGATTTTCAGCTATCCTGATAATATTCCTGTTATTGTAATCACCGTGTGTTATGAGAGCTAGTTTATCAATAAATCAAATGTGATTATCATGGCACTTGGTTGAAGCGACGTTCTCCTAACACGCCACCCCATCGGAGCTAGGAAACGCGATACCAGCAAAAACGAACCTCTCGATAAAAAAAATAAACCAATCAAACAAAGAGAACAAACAAACAATAAAAAAGAAGAAGCCAATGAAATATTCTACCATAAAAAATAAACGTTCCGTCTGCCGCAAATTTCCAGAAACGTGAGCAAATATGAACATCGAGTGACCACAAACAATGACCCACGGGCTCCCCCCACGTGCATTTCGACCGGAGTCTCCTGATGGTCATGAAGTACACTATTCCCAGTCTCTTATCTGTTCAAAACGAAAATGGCTTCTCAAGCACGAGATCTTAGAAGGTTTGTGGAATTTGGACGCAAAATTATCGGCGTGGGTAAAAACTACAGGTTAGTTTCGTTTTTTTTTAATTTTTTTCCCCTTTCAGTGTCTCATTTGTAGACTTCTTTTTTAATTTAGGCCCAACGGATCGCCACAACAGCCCCCTCCTGCTCAAGATCCCCTAATTTTTTTAAAACCACCGTCAACATATTTGAGTCCAGGGGGGGAAATTAAGGTAAGTTCTCGAGATAATGTAAAAGGTATCAGTAGGATCGAGATTTGAAAAGATATTAGGAATTGACTAGCGATGATGTGTTTTGGTTTTTAATCAGTTCGGTCTCAGATTGGGGATTCCCTACACGGTTTACTACGTGGCATCCCTTTGAGAGAAAGTAAGAACTTAATAGTCACTTGTTTCAACCGACCAAGTCTTCCAAGTTCACTCAGAAAGCGAGGTGATCACGTTTAACGCCAGAGTTATAGACATTTTTGTTTAAAACAACCACTTCATTATGTCGTGTCGCTATCCATAGAGGGAATTTTGCACCTTAAGTAGCCAATAAGAACAGGGGATTTGCATCACCATGTTCAGAACAGGGGATTTGCATCATCATGTTCTTTTAACTATATGGAACCACCCATGTAATTAAGAATGTTGGAAGTCAGCTCTTGGCATGTGTTACATATGAATTAAATTACATCCAAACAGTTCATAACCCTAAGAGGGTGCTAAAACATAGTTGTACACTTCCTTGCATATCTACATGTTCAGAGATTTTTTGGTCAAACAATATGATCTACTAGTGTATGTTTGTCTTTGAATCATTTTTTTTCAACTCTTCCAACAGATCCCAGTGGGCCGTGATCAGATTTATCATGAAGTAGAACTTGGAGTTGTGATTGGCAAAACTGGCAAATCTATTTCAGAGTCTCAAGCCATGGATCATGTAGGGGGGTATACCCTGGCTTTGGATATGACTGATTTTGATCTTATAGTTGAAAAAGTAAGTCTATGTGAGCCTGTTTGCTGGAAAAAACAGAGATTGTACTCACCAAATGTGCAATTAAGCATTTTTTTAGGAGATTGTGTGAAAGTTCAGCATTGAAAAAGTTTCTGTTGAGAGAAGAGAGACCTGAACTTTTATGACCCTTCCCCCCCCCCCAACAAAAAGAGAAGGCCTGACAATAAGTTATAACTACATGACTTAAACAGATGAAAATTATAGATGTTATCTTCACAGTAATTAATTTATATGAAGTTACATATATGATTTTTATATATTTACAGTCATTTATTTATCACTTCATGGGTTTATTTGGAACCAACATAAGGAACAGCTCCCAGTTGGCTTGTTAGCTCAGTTGGTAGAGCACTGCACTAGTATTGCAGAGGTCATGGGTTCAAATCCCATAAGGACCTGAATTTTTTTCAAGTCTTAAATTCACTTCTGCTTAAGTAGTTTTCATTACAGTGAAGATCGCTTCCATATTCAGTTTATAACTACCCCAACATCCATCTCCCTGCTTGTTTTCAGCCTGTCACATCATGCTACTTCAAAAGTTCTAAAAACTTTGTGAATTTGGTCAAGGCCTATGAGTAGCTAAAGACGTAGACTGCACGTTATTCAAATCTGTAACTAAACCTTCAAAGAACAGCAAACTTTACCCAGCAGAGGCAAGAGTAGTGTGCTTTGAATCATTTTGCATTTTAGATTAACCTTAACTCCCAGAAGTGATTAACATGTTAGTTCTCTTCTTAATATCCATATGCTATCCAACAAACAGGTAATGTGAATACTCAAACTTATCATCAAGGATAGGCTGTTACATTGATCTAACACCAAATCCTCTACAAGCAAATAGCAGCTGAAGGAGAGAATTAACAATCATATCTTGGGAGTTAAAGGGTTAAGTAATTATCCTAACTAGGCCTCTGATAAGTAATTTTTTTCTAAGTCATTGTAACTTCCATTTCCAGAATGAAGCCATAAAACTTACCTACCCATGGGCACTTGCCAAAGGTTTTGACACAGCAACACCAGTCAGTGAATTTATACCCAAATCAGCGATTACTGACCCAAACAATGTGAAACTATGGTTGAAAGTTGATGGGGAAATGAAGCAAGATGGAAATACACAGGATATGATTTATAAGATACCTCATTTAATAAGTTTTGTCAGCCGTTACATGACATTGGAGGAAGGGGATTTGATTTTGACAGGAACTCCAGAGGGAGGTTCTCCAGTGAAAAGGGGTCAGACAATAATTTGCGGACTTGGTGATAAGATGGAAATGACTTTCCCTGTGTCATCATAAAGGGCTGATCTAACATGTTTAGGATTACAGATCTAGTTGGAAGGGTTAGTAAATAAAATATTTCTTTCAGGGGTGTACAACCCCATAAAAATGATGAGTGTGTTGATCTCTCCAAAACATTAAAAAACACGCCTGAAATGCACCAACATCTTGCTTTCTATCACCAAGTGATACCAACAATAGAAATGCTACATCTTGATCTAAAATCACAAATGAGATGATTAAAAATATATGGGTGAGTTTCCATAACCCTTTCACTCCCACAAGTGACCAAGACAGAATTTCTCCTTACAATATCAATACAGTATCAATCAGGCAGGTGATGAGAATAGAGAAGAATATCAATTATGGAATTATTAGTTGATCTTTTACCAAATTCTCTTAACTAACATCAGAAGAATTGTATGGCAGATAGTAAGGAGAATTACTAATTAGATCTTGTGAGTGAAAGGGTTAAAAGCTGATATTTTCTCATTACAATTATTTTTGTTTTGTCAGATCTGTGACATAGCATACTCTTAACCCTTCAAGGCCCACTAGTGACCTAGACAGAATTTCTCCTTACATTATCAATATGATATCAAATAGACAAGTAATGAGAATAAAGAAAAATATCAATTGGGGGATTATTGGTTGATTCACTTCCAAATTCTCCAAGTCAACATCACATAAATTGTATGACAGACAGTAAGGAGAATTACTCATGAATTCTTGGGAGTTAAAAGGGTTAAAAGCTCTGATCCTTACCACAAAAATGGAAGGTTAAATTGCTTTAAATTTTACATTGCTAAATATTAAAAATTAATTGCATTGTTGCAAACATTCCATGTGTTAGAAAGTATCAATTGTTTTAAACTTTCTCTGTCCAAAGAACTAAAAATTTTTTAAAATCAGATCAAGGTTAATGCACACACTTAATAGTTACTTAAAATGAAATGAAAAAAATGTACAAGGCAAATGAATGTGGGCAAATGGTAACATTTTTTCAAATGATTCTGAATAAAATGGAAAAATTTCGAATACTGGTCTCATGATTTCAATTATATTCAGTGCAGTGTTTCCATCATTTCTTCCTGGCTGACTGGCCATGTTCAGCAACTGATTTGGTAGAAGTGATTTTGGAAAAATTTCTCCCAGACTGTCACAAATACTACTATCCTTTTAATACTCCCTTCTTAAATTCAATTGCTAAAAGCTTAAGTGCAGATGACATAATTTTGAGCGGGGCTTTACTCTCCAAAAACATTCTCTTCCGGTAGTTTCTCCCCTCTCTACCCGGGTAGGGTGACGGGTACCCTCCCACCCCGTAATTTCATTGAATCAAGATAAAAATGGCGGCTGCAACATCATCTTCGAGAGATCTTCGAAGATTCGTGGAGTTTGGACGGAAGATAATCGCAGTCGGACGAAATTACAGGTGAGCTTTTTAAAAGAAGTGTAATTCGACAATAACTTTATTCAGTGTCTCCAAACAAAGGAAGATGAAAGATTTTATTGCTTGGTACGTAGGGAACACGCTGCGGAATTGGGAAATCCTGTTCCAAAAACTCCACTCATCTTCCTGAAGCCGCCATCCAGCTACCTACAACAAGGAGGAAAAATCAAGGTACCTTGGGAGTACAAGGCTACAAATTAGTCACCTAAAGCTTTAAATTTGTGATCGTAAAAATCTAATGAGGAGGGCTGTACTACATCGTGGAGGGCCTTTGGAAAAGGGGTATTGTTGATCGGAGGTGGGGTGGAGGGCGAATTCCTATGACCCCTAATTTCTAAGTCTTTATACAGTTTGGACCCTAGAATTTGGGTTTTCTTGAACGTAACTTGTACGGTATAATTGTGCATGGACTATTTTATTTTCTATTCTGTTATTTATTAACTTGTTTTGCTTGCAGCTTCCTCCAGGTTGTGACGAGCTTCACCACGAAGTAGAACTTGGTGTTGTAATTAGTAAGACAGGCGCGTCTATTGCGGAATCCAATGCAATGGATTACGTTGGGGGATATGCTCTTGCTCTTGATATGACTGCAAGAGATCTTCAAAATAAAGCTAAGAAGCTGGGTCAACCATGGACACTTGCTAAAGGTTTTGATACTGCATTGCCAGTCAGTAGATTCATCTCCAAGACAGAGATTCCGCAACCTGATAATGTCCATCTTTGGCTGAAAGTTGATGGTGAACTAAAACAAGATGGAAACACTCGGGATATGATCTTCACTATTCCTTATTTGATCAGCTATATCAGTCAGAGTATGACTTTAGAGGAAGGAGATTTCATTTTGACTGGGACTCCAGAGGGTGTCTCAGAAGTCAAACCTGGACAAACAATAGCTTGTGGTCTTGGGGATAAAATAGACATGACATTTCCTGTGGTGTTGTAGAAACATGAGAGGGTTAATCCTTTACACCCTAACATCAGTATGCATATTCTCCATACTGTTCTTCATATGTTTCCCAAAGTGTGGACAATGAGAATTTCTAAAACAATCAAGATTTTCTTCAGCATGTGATCATTTCCTTTATTCTCATGACCTTAATGTGTGATTGAGGGGTGATATTGTAAGGAGAAATAAGATGGTAATCACTCTAAAGGATCAAAAGGTTAAAGCACAATACCAACAATGAACATCTGTATTAGGATTACCTTAATTAAAAATTTTTACAAGAATCTTTTTTATAGTTATGTCAATTAGCTCTTTACCTCAATCACACCTTCATAATTTACTAAAAGTTTAAGGTAGTATCAATGGCCACTTATTATAGAGAGAAAAAGATAATGTTTTCTGCTAGTATTGAAAGGTTCTGATTTTTACCCCATTTTTCATTTAAATCAAAGACAAACTCAGGTGTTCTTTATTCATATATTTTTTTGTATGCCCATAAGTAACCCAAATGTGGAGTGCTTTTCAATCAAAGAATGAAACATGGTCCCTAAGTTTTTATTCAACCTTAATTTTGAATTTCCACAACTTTTTTTGGTCAAGGAAAAGTATAGAATGATGGTCTTGACTTAACAATTGTAATGCTTACCAATTAAAAATATTTGAATCCTATTGGTTTATAGATACAAAATTATACAACTTTGCGGTGTGAGGTTAAATTAATGCAAAGGGCTTGATCTCTGCTTGCTGAAACTATATTCTTTTAACTAAAACTGACAAACCAAATTACTTTTATTTTGGGTAATATTCATTTATTGAATTAATTAACACTATTGAGAAGCATTGTAAGCAAATGACATTCCGTATTTCCTCAAACAAGAGCCATCTACCAAGTAAGTGCCCACCCCCTTGGCCATAATGTCAAACAAGCACCCCCTCCTCCCTCACTTTCCTAAGTAGTAGGGATTCATGGAAAATCTGTTTTTATTGTCACTTTATTATCAACCTTTAAAGCTTCAACTATGGCAGAATCAGAACAGGAAATCAATAACTACCCCCTTGACTAAGTTCCCTCCTCCTTACAAGGGCCCCTCCTTTTAGGTGAAATTTTAAATAAGTGCTCGCGCACTTATCTGAAGAAATGCAGTATACTTTTTATTTACACTGGTGATGTGTAAACTTCCCAATTACACTTTCTAAGTACAAGCATAATTTGTACACTGTCCTTTTAGTGTTCAAACATGGACTCAATCATGTTTGAGAATATTGTAACAATTGATCTTCTGTAGGCTAACAGTATAGTTATTGAAGAACTGCAATATCAAAACTTGGTTGTAAGGGGCCAGAACTACCCCAGATTTGTTAAATTAAGCTGTTTGGTGGTACTTGCTGTTACAATCATCCACTTTGCTAATCCTGAAGGTCAGCTTCATCTGACTCCACTTCAGTAGCATTATGTATTGCAACCAAAACATCTCCTATCTTGGATTTTTCATCTCCTGAAATGGGAACTATTTCACACTTTCCTCTGCATTCTTTGCAACTTTCAAGAATTTCTCTCAGTTTCCGAATGAAGAGTACAACCTACAAGAAAGGGGTTTACATGAAAAGAAAAACAACAAAAAAACGTCTGACACAAGAATTATTGGTATGACTGGGTTTGTTTGAGCTAGGGAAGGATGGTGCCCAGCAGAGGGGGTGGGATGGAGGCAGGATTGTTATATTCCTTTTGAGGCTGTTTCCCAAGTTGAAAACTGAGAAAAAAGTTTTCGTCGGTATTTCCTACTATTTGGCTTTGTTAGGCCTCCACGTATGCTTTTCCCTCTAAGACATCTTTACCCTTACCCCCCCCCCCCCCCCCCGCACTGAATAAAAGTCCATTTATTCTGGATCTTATGGTTTTTTGCCCGTACACACAAATATAATTTTTTATTTCAAATAAGTTTGCTATATTCCAACAACTGAATATAATAGCCTGATGTTTGACATATTCAGGAACATTGCACTTGTACCCAAAGCCTGAGGAAAATAAAACATTTCTTCCAAAGGGTCTGGGGGTTGGGGAATGGCGCTGTCTTGTTGTAAATACAAAATGGCAGAGTTAGAGAAGCCACGAGATTCCCAGCATAACCCTTTACCTTAAGATTAATAAACATATAAGCTATGTCTTTTAAGAGACAAAAAAGATGGCTCAGCAAAACCAAGGGTATCTACGTCATCAGAAGAAGTTCGCGGATTTCGCGAAGCTCTTTAACTGAGGAAGTACTATGATTACCTGATCATCCCGCTCTTGACGACTGAAGGGAGCGTCTTCGTGGAGAGACATGTCATACAAAGACATAAGATTGGAAGCGTACTCCAAAATGAAGAAGTATTCACGTGTCATTCCTGGTTTATCGGACATGTCTACTCGGTAAACTGCTTGTTTGTAAATTCTTTCCCTTATTCCTCCCCTGTTGATTTTACACGGTGTAAGATCTCCGGCCCAAGTAACCCTGGGATCTGCGTCGGCAATATTATCATACACATAACATGTCTTCGGCACCAAGATGTAAAGTTTCTTCTTTGTTATCTTGTAACGAAACTCGGACGATTTTGCAATCTGAGCTTCAAGCCTGGGAAGAACCAACTTCAGGTAGCCGAAGTAGTAATTCCAAGCAAAGCCGTCAGCAACATTCTTGTTATCTCTTTCGTTCAACATGGTTGCTTCCACCGTGTTCGGCTCTCTGAGACCAACGAGGAAAACCAGTTGTGGTACCACAAAACAATTCAGTATGAAAAAGATGGCATAATCCAGGCGGAGAAACGATTCATAGTTTTGCAACATGGCATAACACACAAACAGAGTGGAAGTGGTACCGACAACTAGAATACAAGAACTGTATTCAAACGCGAAAGTAGATTTTAAAACTCGCCTCCATTCCCCTCGATATCTCGTCTGCTTGTGTCGAATTTCTTCGGCTAGCATCGATACCCTTCTGATTAGTTCGCCTGCAATTACGCTTAGCATAAGAAGGGCTGTTGCAAAGAACACAAAGCTAATTCCTTCCTTGTCTTCGTTCTCCCATAAGGCAAACACAAGCAGGGCCCCAGATATGGTGGCTATCACTACTGAAGCGAAAGTGACAGCCTTGCCGCGGGGCTTGAAAATCGGTCCAAATCCGTTATTTTCTTGTTGATCCATTTATCAACTAACTATGTATCTTTATGCACGTCCCCTTTAAAACGTGTTTTTCTTTTTTGCACCCTTCGATAGGGATCTTAAACTGCTTGCGTGGCAGATGTCGTTTTTTTTTCAACTGATTGGGTACACTTTAGGGGAATCCCCTTATGATTTTGATTGGCGGATAGGAGTGGTTTTCTCTGCAAGCCTTCTTAAGTATTTTGGAAAATTTAACATATCTTATTGATGCGTAGGACTTAAATTGAAAGCAAATTGACAAAGCAGGGTCATTGTGATGAATCAAAAGGATTCCAACTTTTCTTTTAAAATCAGCTCGGGGTTATTTACTGTCGAGGAAAAACATAACTCAGTGCGGTATTTGATTACCTCTGCGGCTACATGACGTAAGTCACATTTTAAAATGTCGCCAAGTTTCACATGATTTGTTTATTTGTTGAAGTTTTTTTTTATATAAGCCGGTGGCAGTGGGTACATGTTGGAAAATGTCTAGTGAAATTTAATAAATCCCTTAAGGCAGCTGGTATGTCGGCTAATAATGTCAGAAAACTGAATATTTGGCCGAGAACCGAAGCTTCGAGGGCAACTTTAAATGTTTATTATTTTTTTAAAATATTTTAAAACATCATGTTTAGGGTGCTTTTAAGAGCCCATAAAAAGTAATTTGTCATCTCTCTTTGGGTTTTCTTTGTTCATTCGAGTTTAATCCAAATTTTGCATTCCACAAAGATGAATATTCACAGAATAAGTTGAACTGAAAACCTGATGACTATTTGTGTTTTCAGACAATGTGCCCACCCACCCTTGGAGGGTCAATTGTAATGGGGCAGGTGGGTATTTGAGAAACTCTGATGGTCATTTATCTTCTAACTCTAACCCTAACCCTTAGCAATCACTGGTGTGGAAATAGGAAGGAATTCCAGACACTCTTATTTTGGAGAGAGGGGTAGGGATATGGATATTTTCACATAATCCAGACAAAAATATAAACAACAATTTATTGACAGAATTAAAATGCAACAACTAACAACTTAAGCATGCTCATACAGGCTGCAGCTGTGGGTCTTCCATATCATAATGAGCCTATGATTAAGAGGATCTTGGTTGTTCTGAAAGACAATTTAAGCAGTCATTGAAAATGGCAAAGCAGAAATGACAATCATAACCACTAGATCATAACAAATTATTCACCATGAGTTATTAACGCAACTAGATTTTTGTCTGAAATGACATGAAAAGGATCTATATGCAGTTCATCATCCAAAGTATTAATTAGGCTAAAATCAATTCAAACAGGCTGATGAAAATTTTCAAATAACATAAAAATGATCCAACCCTTCTGGTTAGCAAGCTTAGGAAGTTGAGAGTCAGGAAGAGATTGGAAGGAACAGGGATACTTGTTCTCTTTCTCAAACCTCTGGAAAACATTTTGGCCTCCCAGATTGTTCAGAGCAACAGAAATACCATAAATTGTCATTCAGTTATTTGTTAGGATTAAATACAATAAATTATAATCAACAAGTTTTCCTTTTTCTTGATCATTAAAACCATGAGGCTTTAGGAGTAAAATCTGGATTTTTACAGGTACTCTTAAATATCAATAATTTTTTGTGTAAACTATAATTATACTAACTGAAAAATAGAAAGAAAAAGGAAGGCTCCTCAGTCCTACATGGATCACTAAAGGAGTATTTCATTTAGTATATCACAGGTCCTGTAAAATATCAGCAATTTATGTATACAATGTTACAAACTGAGTTTTTTGTTACATTGAGTTAGCAATATTTTTGTTTAAAGCTGTCCTTGTTCTGGTCAGTGCACTCCATTAGCTTCTGGATTGTGCATCTCTATGTTGGCAGCATTATGCATCCCAACTAGGACATTTGAAATCTCATGTGGATCATTTCCTGAAATTGGCACTAATTCATAAGTCCCTCTGCACTCTTCAGAGTTCTCCAGAATTTCCGTCAATTTTTGGATGAATAACACCACCTTTGTAATAGGAAAGAAAACTTCCAGTAAGACTGTGTCTGACCTAAAGCAAAGCATATTTCTGAGGACCATTCCCCAGGGGGGGGGGTCTTCCTGATAATAGGGTAATGGGGATGTACTGCTCTGGATAAGGTTGATTTTCCATAACTGGATTCACCATTATGGGGATGCATTTTTGATAGTGTTTCTTAAATGGGGTTGAGTGTTTTGTGGATTTTGGGGGTAAGCTGAATTAAAGTAACTAGGGTTTTAAAATGGAAGATTTGTGGTCAAATGAGTCAATTCATTTTAGGAAGAGCTACCTAAAAGGCTTTGCAAGACAGATGTATAAACAGAAAGTGACTAAGTTAGGATAATGAAAATTACATTTACTCAAAAAGTTATTGAGATGGGATCTATTATGGGCTAGGGGTTCTGAGTGGCCAGTGGCACTTCCACAGCAAAAATTGACCTAAGAACTCTCTCCAGGGATCAGTCACAATATTACTCATAGTATTCAGATCAGGATTCTCTTTCATCTTGAAAATCAAAAGGAAAATACCACAAACTAGCCTACCTGCTGATCCCGCTCCTCACGGTTAAAGGGGGCGTCTTCTTGTCGAGACATATCGTAGAGGGTCATCAGAGGCGTGGCATACTCCAAGATAAAGTGGTACTCTCCCACTGTTCCATCTGGGCGGGGCATCTCTATCTTATATACCGCATGCTTGTAAATTCTGTTCTTAATTCCACCTCTATCAATTGAAAGCTCAGTAAGATTGTCGACCCATTTTACCCTGTCATCTGCGTCAACGATGTTAGCACAGGTGTAGCACGTTTTGGGCAATAATATTAAAAGCTTTTCCTCTTTTATCGCATATCGAAGTTCAGGTTTCGATTTGCTAATCTGTTCTTTCAGTTTTGGCAGTACCAGCTTCAGATAACCAAAGTAGTAGCTCCAAGCCAGCCCATCAGCTACATTCTTGTTTTCTTTTTCGTTCAAATCCGATGTTTCCACAGGAGAGAGCTGTCGGAGACCCACAAGGTACAACAACTGCGGAACCACGAAACAGTTCAGAAAAAACAAAATGGCGAAATCTGGGCGAGAGAAAACCTCGTATTGTTCATACAACTGATAACATAATATGAGAGCGGAAGCGATAGTAGCGACTAAAATACACTTGCCATAATCGAAAGTGTAAGTTGTCTTAAATATACCCTTCCACTTTCCTTGATATCTCGTGTGTTTGTGCTTGATCTCCTCAAACAACAAGGACAACCTTCGTAATAGTTCACCGAAAACAAAACTGAGGGTAAGCAGCGCAGCTGTAAACATCAGGAAATGAAACTCCTTCTCTTTATCTTTCACCGCGAAGAATAGCGTCGCGCCACTTATCACAACCATGATAACTGAAGAGACAGTAGCAGTTTTCCCACGACGCTTGAAAAGTGGTCCAAAGCCATTATTTTCTTGCCGAGCTAAGTCATCTCCTCGGGGAAGAAGATTTTCAGCCATGGTTTATATAATATTCCTTCGAAACGCAGAATTTATGTACTCGTAAAGATGGTCAGAACGAAATGAGTAAAACTGGGGAAAGCAGATCGATTTGATTCCCGACATGATTTATTTGGGGAATCCCCTAGATAAAAACTCTGGCCTTGATTGGCCAGGAGTCATGAGGTTGTCTTTGAGCCTCCCGCGAGGGGAAAGGGCGCGTTGAAATTATTTGTTCGGAGATTGAAAGTGCTCTCTCAGCAAGTTTCAGTTTCGAAAAACCTTTTCCAGAGGAATGAAAAACCGAAAGGAGAATGCTTTGGTTTTCTACACCGCGTGGAGCCTCCGTAGTTGAAACCACCTTGTGCACGAGGTGGTTCTCACATTTATGTGTAATGACCATGATTAAATTATTCACCATCAGGCTTAACAATGGTATTCTCAGCTCACTTGAATTCCAATACCATCATTAATATGGAGGACAGATAAAAGTAGCTTGCTGGAGATAGCTCCGCCATATTCAGGCTTCATTCAGGCTTGGTTCACTGAGGAGCATCGAGGAGAATCAAGGGCCGTTTAATTCTAGTGCCAAATGGGATCATATTTCCGCGTTCCTACAAGAAATGCACCCACAGATACTTTAACACAACTTGCGTGGAACACACGCCACTTTGCGATGTAAATGGCGCGAAACGTTTAGACTGTTATTTCAACGATGATGAATACTAAGTGGCGAAAAAGTAGCAACGGCGGACTGCGGGTGCAACCATGAACCGATACCGTACACCGAGGTGTAATTCCCACACAATTTACTAGCTCTCTGGATTGAAAGATGTCGTTGACATGTCTAGGTTAAGTTACAATGATAAATAAATATGTCTTTTTTTATTCATTACCCTTGATTCGTAATTACAATCGGGAGGGGATCTATCTAAAACCTGGGTGTCCTGTGATTCTGTAAGAAGATGGTAGGATCTGGATAAAGAATGTCAGTCAGGGTCTAGGTTATTGTCTAGCTAAACAGAGAAGGGCTATCTCGATCCTTGACTGTTGTTAATATTAATAACATTCAGATTCATATTCTTTTTTTAATAATTAATTATTTGAACTTTACATAGGGGCTTTGATGTTGTAATCAAATTATTGATAATTAAACCCCATGGTCAAGTGGAAAACATTGGGCTTGTTGAGACCAAGGGTATTCAGTTAATCACAAGGAGGATTATTCTTGGTGTCCAGCTTATTTCTAAATTCACTCCATTATTCCTTCCCTGTTGAGCCTACACAGTGGAACATGACTGGCCTTAAGTAAACCTGGGATCTGCATCAGGGGAGTTAAATCACCACAGAATGTAGTTGAATTGAAAACCTGTCCACTGTTTGTGGCTCCAAGAAACTTCCTCACCCATCCTTGGAGGGCCTTTTGGAATGGGATAGGGTGAGGATTCTAAAAGCTTATGGGTATTTATAGAGGAATGATATTTCTTCTGATCAATGGATGGGGGAAGGTGATTCCAAACAAAATCCTCTGTGTGAGGGGTGCAATTAGGGATATTTATTAACATATTCTACTTTGGATACTTGCATGATTTAGAGGGGATCTCACTATGAATTCTTTCAAACCAGTTTTACAGTTTAGGCTACTCGATAACTAAAGCCTTGCCTGAGTTTTTTTTTTCTTAGCAGTTTTGTAACTAAGAATTTTCCGTAGTGAAATCTTTGTAGTTTATTCTACAATTGAGAGAACTTCTGGCTTGAAACAACAAAAAAATTGAAAGCTGTGGCAAAACTTGAAGGGGGGAGACTCTCCTTCAAAGAAGCACCAAAGTTGTTGGTTATAATTTTTCCCAAACTTATAGGTACTGGTGTTCTAGTACAGTCAAAGTTAACACACAAGTGCTTTGTGGCAAGTTTTATTTTTTTAACCTGTTAGATCCTAGAGTGACAAGTATCTAATTTCTCCTTAGAGTAGTACCACTGATATATTTATTAGAAAGACCATGGAAGTAAAGGAAATGATTGCCAAACTAAAAAGCTGTGATTGAAACAAAGATTCTCCTTGTCAGTACCAAAGGAAAAGTTTAATTAACAACAGTATGAAGAATATGCATACTGATATAAAGATGTAAAGGGATAATTAATATGTTTACAGAATAAGAGCACAACAATCATCAGTTCAAGTATTTCACAGAACAAAGCAAGACAAATGAAAAATGAGAAAAACTAAACTATTCAGCATGTTTTATAAACCTCTAATCATGTTTACTTTACTATCCTATAAAGGGCTCACTACAAACTGTGTCATCTGCTAGGCAACACTGGGAAGAGTAAATTAAATTAAGCTATAAACTTCTCTACATACACAAATTAAAGGCTGTTCCTTTGAATGTTTTCAAAACACAATCAACATAAATCTGCAAGATGTCAGAGGTTAAAGAATTCAAAACAACTCAAAGCCTTGAGCTATCAAGCCCAGGAAAGGACTGGAGCACATATTAAGTTACATTAGGATGCTTGCTTTCTAGCTTAAGAGTACAAATAATCAATTTTTGGCCTCTCAGGGTCTGACACTGTGTTTCTTAACACTCAGAAACACAGCTCTATACATGTGCAATGTATAACAAGAGTTCCTTTGTTGTCCATACTGTTGCTGTGGAGCAGCAGGCACATATCTGCTCTATTGCCTAGTTTGCTCATCGGTCTCCCCTTCTTAATCTATGTTGGTTGCACTGTGCATTCCCACAAGGACATCCGCAATCTTGTTTGTGTCATTTCCTGAAATTGGAACCAATTCATACTTTCCTCTGCATTCCTCAGCGTCATCCAAAATTTCCCTCAGCTTATGGATGAATAACACCACCTAGGTTACAATGAAAATGGTTTCAGTTGGTGTAAGCATTAGCTTAACCCTTCAGCTCTAAGTAGTGATTAACCCATAACTTCTCCACATAATATCTATACATTATCCAGCAAACAGTTAATGAGAATACTCAAACTTATCAGATAGAAGTTGTTATCTTGATTTAATGCCAAATTCTTGTTACTTATTTACTAGGAAATGTGTATAAGCTAGAAAGGGGAATAAACAATCAGATCTTGGGAGTTAAAGGGTTAAAAAAAGGGTATTAAAAAAAACTACCTCAAAAAGAAATTCTAAGAACAAATATTTGTTATCATATATCTAAAATCACATAACAGATCACACTTGTTCACCTGTTGATCCCGCTCTGGACCAGTCAAAGGGGCCTTTGCATGACCAGACATTTCGCACAGGGACATAAGAGGCGTAGCGTACTCCAAGACAAAGTGGTACTCTTCCACTGTTCCATCTGGGCGGGGCATCTCTATGTGGTGTACCGCATGCTGGTAACTTCTCTCCAAAATTCCAGCCCTGTTAATTTTACTCGCGGGAAGTTTGCCGGCCCATTTTACCCTGTCATCTGCTTTGGATATTTCTTCAAATGCATAGCACGTTTTTGGAAGTAAAATGAAAAGCTTTTCGTCTGTAATCTTATGACGAAATGTGTCCGATTCGGAAATACGATATCCCAATCTTGGCAGCACCAGCTTGAGATACCCAAAGTAGTAGCTCCAAGCCAGCCCATCAGCCACATTCTTGTTTTCTTTTTCGTTCAAATCCGATGTCTCTACGGGAGAGAGCTGTCGACTGCCAACAAGGAACAGAGCGATGGCAACGACTAAAATACTACCGGAATTATTGAAAGTTAAAGTCCTCTTGCAAATATCCTTCCAGTTTCCTCGATATCTCTCGTGCTTGTGTTTAATCTCTTCGGACACAAGGCACAACCTTCGTACTATTTCTCCGAGAACGACACCCAAGATAAGCAAGGCTGTTGTAAACACCAGGAAATCAATCCCTTCTCTCTTTTTTTTATCCTTCGCTGCGAACAAAAGCATCGTGCCACTAACCACAACCACGATAGCTGATGTGATCGTAGCAATATTTCCACGAAGCTCGGAAAGTGGTCCAAAGCTATTATGTGATTGCTGAGCTACGTCATCTCCTTGGGGAAGAAGATTATCTGCCATGGTGGATAAAACTATTTCTTTCTCTCGATGGTCTCGTAATACTCGTGAAGTTGACCACCACTAAATGCGTCAAATTGTTGAGAGCTGATCACTTATTCATATAGAACGCCATTTACTTGGGTAATCCCCCACAACAATTCTCTGGACCTGATTGGCCAGGAGCACGTCAGGGTGTTCATAAGGTGTACCCCTGGGGGAAAACCCCCCTGACGGGGTGGGTTAATCAAAGTTTCATAGTGCTCTTTCAGCAACTTTCGGTTTCTAGAGATCTTTCCCTCACGAATGAAAAACTAAAATAAAAACGTTTCCCTAACCTATACCTTTTGGAGCCCCTCTACTCCTTGAAAGTCTATCAAGTTTAAAAATTGTGGTTTTCACAGGAAGGTTGCATGTCCTCAGAGAAACTAGAAACAAATTAAAATTTTAAATCAGGATTTATAATGGTAGCTATTGCTTCAATATTGGATTATCCATATTTATGCGAGGGCCAGTTAAAATTAGCTCTGCCTTCATCTTGGCTAGGATCATAGAAGAGAACAAGGAAGATCAAGAGGTTATTAATGCTATTGCCAAATGACATAAAACTTCTGCATAAACCGATATGATTTACCTGGGAAATCCTCTAAATAAAAACTCTGGCCTTGACTGGCCAAGAGTCTTGTGTTTGTCTTTGGGCTGTCCCCCGCTTGGGTAGTATCCTCAAATAGGGCGTGATGAAATCATTTGTTAGGAGATTGAAAGTGCTCTCTCAGTAAGTTTCAGTTTCGAAAACCTATCTCAGAGGACTGAAAAACCGAAAGGAAAACCCGTTGGTTTCCTACACCGCGTGGAACCCGCGCAAGTTGAAACCACCTCGAGCACGAGGTTTGACCTTAATTAGATTAAAGAAAAATTACGTCACCAACAGGTTTAATAATGGTATTTATAACAGAGCTAGTAAATTTGTCTAATCAAATTCAATTACACGAGCGTGCTTCATATTCCTATTGTGCACGCCCATGACATCAGCAAACAAATCCCTCGAGAAAAGAATTTTCCTTTGGGTTGAAAATGTTATAAAACAATTGGTTCTTACGTCAGCTGTGCGTTCATCGAGATATGAAGCCCTTGGGAAGTTTGGAGAGCGCTCAAGAAGCCTTGAGCAACTCTTACGCATCTTTCGTGCTCTCCAAACATCCCGCGTGCTTCATATCTCGATGAACGCACGCTGACATATGAACCATTGTTAAATCTCAACTCACATGAATTCGAATACCATCATTAACATGGAGGACAGTTAAAAGTAGCTTGCTTGCTCCATATTCAGGCTTGGTTCACCGAGGAGTATCGAGGGGCATCAAGAGGCGTTTAATTCAAGTGCCAAATGGGATCATATTTCCTTCGTTCCTTTGGGAAATGCACCCACACATTCTTCTACATAACTTGCGGGTAACACACGCCACTCATATTTTGTCCGTTGTTTATCTGTTTTAGTTGTTTATCTGTTTTAGGTCGATTAATGTACAATACTTACCCCATCCCCACAGAGACACCTCACCTTAACGTATTGTCCTAATTAACCAATCAGACAGCGAGTTGAAACTAAAACAGATAAACAACGGACAAAATTTGAATATTCTGCGGGGTTTGCTGTGCTCTGTTTCCAGCGAAATGCGCGCGAAGTTTTGGTATTGAGACATGTCCCAGGGTGCAGTGATCTTAGATCGTAAAGTGTGGCTGAGAAAAATGCCGATCGGGAGGATTTTCGGGGCGCAAACCACCTCCGCGTGGACCACGGTCGAAATCGGAGTGTGCAGCCTTGACTTCGTCTTTTGACATGGATAACAGTGATGGTAAAGCAAGCTTAAAACGGCAGAAATCGCCAGAAACTACGACGGATACACAGGGCATGAGTAAGTTTTATTGATTTTCGTGTAAAATATTCATATTTCGAAATATTTATCGTTGTAAATCGACCATATTTCGTTCCCCATACTATTCCTTAAAACGTGTTCAAATTTTCAACGTTTCCTCCCGTAACTTAACATCGAGTCACACTCCCAAACTTATAAGTAATGGTGTTCTAGTACAGTCAGAGCTGACACACAGGTGCTTTGTGGTAAGTTTTATTTTTACCCCTTTCAATCCTAAGAGTGACAAGAATCTAATTTCTCCTTAAAGCAACACTACTGAAATATTTATTCTAAAACCATGGAAGGAAATGATTGCCAAACTAAAAAGCTGTGATTGAAAGACAAATTCTCCTTGTAAGGAAATGTGTAATTGAGAACAGTATGAAGAATATGCATACTGATATAGAGGTGTAAAAGGGATAATTAATATGTTTACAGAATAAGAGCACAACAATCATCAGTTTAAGTATTTCACGGAGCAAAGCAAAGAAAAATGAAAATTGAGAAAAACCAAACTATTCAGCCTGTTTTATAAATTTCTGTTCATGTTTATGTTACTATCCCACTAAGGGCTCACTACAAATTATGTAATCTGCTTGGCTATAAGGAAGGGCAAAATAAATTAGGCTATAGCCTTCTCCACTTACACAAATTAAAGGCTGTGCCTTTGAATGTTTTCAGAACACAGTCAACATAAATCTGCAAGATGAGAACTGTCCCTTTGCTACCCTCTCTAAAAAACAATGTTAGTGTCCTTAACCAACATCAAGTGGTATCTATTATGGGTGAAATAAAAGTATAAGCCACAAGATTTAGATAAAGATTTGTAATCAACATCTAGGCTCCTCATTCCTACATGCATCAGAAAAGAAATATTTCATTTACTATATTGCAGGTCCTGTAAAATATCAGGAACTTATGTGTACAACATTACAGACTGAGTTTCTTGCTACACCACATTAGCATTATTTTGTTTAGAGCTGTTCTTGTTCTGGTCTGTGCACTCCATTAGCTTCTGGATTGTGCATCTCAATGTTGGCAGCATTATGCATCCCAATCAGGACATCTGAAATCTCATTTGGATCATTTCCTGAAATTGGCACTAATTCATAAGTTCCTCTGCACTCTTCAGAGTTCTCCAGAATTTCCCTCAATTTTTGGATGAATAACACCACCTATAAGTCACAATTAAGAGAAGTTCCAGTTAGATGAGCATCCCAACTCAAACAAATCATATTTATGAGGACCAGTCCTAAGGGGGGGAGGGGGGTACTTCCTAATAAAAGGCTAATGGGGATATGCTACTGGATGGCTTGCATTTTCCCTGCTGGATTTACTATTTAATAATGGGTTTGCAATTTCAATGCAGTTCCAACAATAGGGTTGCACTCTTCCAGATTTTGGGGTGAGACAATGTATGGCCAATTGGGAAGATTCATGGTTAAATGAGTCAATTCATTTTAAGATGAGCTACTTAAAAGGCTTTCTAAGGCAGATACATAAAACAGAAAGTGACTAAGTTGGGATAGTGAAAGTAACATTCACTTAAAAGCACCCTAGATAGGATCTACAAATGACCACAGAATAGATTATAATGGGTTGGGGGAGGGTGGGTTCTAAGAGGCCAGTGGCATATACACAACAGAAATCGACCCAATTACCCAGGGATCAGCCACAATATTGCTTGTGGTAATTAGATCAGGATTCTCTTCCACTTTGAAAATCAAAGAGAAAATACTAGAAACTAGCCTACCTGATGATCCCGCTCCTCACGATTAAAGGAGGCGTCTGCATGCTCAGACATATCATAAAGGGACATCAGAGGTGTGGCATACTCCAAGATAAAGTGGTACCTTTCTACTGTTCCATCAGGGTGGGGCATTTCTATCTTATGTACCGAATGCTTGTAAATTCTTTCCTTAATTCCACCCCTACTAATTTTAAGCTCTGGGAGATTACCGACCCATTTTACCCTTGGGTCTGCGTCTTTGATGTCAGCACAAGTGAAGCACGTTTTGGGCAGTAAAATGAAAAGCTTTTTCCTTGTTATTTCATAACGAAAAAGCTCCGATCTGCCAATCTGATCTTTCAGTTTTGGCAGTACCAGCTTCAGATAACCAAAGTAGTAGCTCCAAGCCAGCCCATCAGCCACATTCTTGTTTTCTTTTTCGTTTAAATCTGATGTTTCCACAGGAGAGAGCTGTCGGAGACCCACAAGGTACAACAACTGCGGAGTCACGAAACAGTTCAGAAAAAACAAAATGGCGAATTCTGGGCGAGAGAAAACTTCGTATTGTTCATACAACTGATAACATAATATGAGAGCGGAAGCGATAGCAGCGACTAAAATACACTTGCCATAATCGAAGGTGAAAGTGGTCTTAAAAATACCCTTCAACTTTCCTTGATATCTCGTGCGTTTGTGTTTGAACTCCTCAGACAACAGGGACAACCTTCGAAATAATTCACCGAAAACAAAACTGAGGGTAAGCAGGGCAGCTGTAAACACCAGGAAATGAAACTCCTTCTCTTTATCTTTCACCGCGAAGAATAGCGTCGCGCCACTTATCACAACCATAATAGCTGAAGTGACAGTAGCAGTTTTCCCACGACACTTGAAAAGTGGTCCAAAGCCATTATTTTCTTGTTGAGCTAAGTCATCTCCTCGAGGAAGACGATTTTCAGCCATGGTGTATATAATATTTCCTCCTAAACGCAGAATTTACGTACTCGTAAAGATGGTCACAAAGAAATGCGTTAAACTGGGGAAGGCAGATCGATTTGACTCCCGACATGATTTATTTCGGGAATCCCCTAGATAAAAACTCTGCATGACCTTGATTGGCCAGGAGTCTTGAGAGTGTCTTTGGACTTCCCCCCGCGAGGGGAAATTCGGAGATTGAAAGTGCTCTCTCAGCAAGTTTCAGTTTCGAAAACCTTTTTCCGGAGGAATGTTAAACCAAAAGGAGAATGGGTTGGTTTCCTAAACCGCGTGGAGCCTCCTTAGGTTGAAACTACCTCGAGCACGAGGTGGTTCTCACATCATGTGTAAAGACCGTGATTCAATTTAAAGAAAAATTATTTCAGCTTTTTCTCTCTGTCTAGGTTATTGTCCAGCTAAAGAGAGAAGAACTATCTCGATCCTTGACTGTTGTTATTATTAATGACATTCAAATTCATATTCTTTTTCTAATAATTAATAATTTGAACTTTACATAGGGGCTTTGATGTTGTAATCAAATTATTGATAACTAAACCCCATGGTCAAGTGGAAAACATTGGGCTCGTTGAGACCAAAGGTATTCAATTAATCACAAGGAGGATTATTCTTGGTGTGCCGCTTATTTATAAATTTGCTTCATTATTTCTCAGGAACATCACTGGCCATAAGTAAACCTGGGATCTGTATCAGGGGAGTTAAATTGCTACAGACTGAAGTTGAATCGAAAACGTGTCCTCTGTTTGTGGCTCCAAGAAATTTCCAACCCACTCTTGGAGGGCCTTTTGGAATTGGATAGGGTGAGGATTCTAAAAACCTTATGGGTATTTATAGAGGAATGACATCTCTTGTGATTGATGGATGGGGGAAGGTGATTCTGAACAAAATCCTCTCTGTGTGAGGGGTGCAATTAGGGATATTTTTAAACATATTCTACACAAAAGAATACTTTGGATACTTGCATGATTTAGAGGGGATCTCCCTATGAATTCTTTCAAACCAGTTTTACAGTTTAGGCGACTTGATCACTAAGGCCTTCCCTGAGTGTTTTTTTTTCTTAGCAGTTTTGTAACTAAGACTTTTCCATAGTGAAATCTTTGTAGTTTATTCTGCAATTGAGAGAACCTCTGATTTGAAACAACAACAAAAAATTGAAAGCTGTGGCAAAGCTCAAAGGGGGAAGACTCTCCTTCAAAGAAGCACCAAAGTTGTTGTTTATAATTTTTCCCAAACTTATATAGGTACTGGTGTTCTAGTACAGTCAAAGTCAACACACAGGTGCTTTGTGGCAAGTTTTATTTTTTAACCTGTTAAATCCTAGAGTGACAAGTATCTAATTTCTCCTTAGAGTAGTACCACTGATATATTTGTTATAAAGACCATGGAAGTAAAGGAAATGATTGCTAAACTAAAAAGCTGTGATTGAAACACAGATTCTCCTTGTCAGTACCAAAGGAAATGTGCAATTCAGAATAGTATTAAGAATATGCATACTGATATAAAGATGTAAAGGGATAATTAATATGTTTACAGATTAAGAGCACAACAATCATCAGTTCAAGTATTTCACAGAGCAAAGCAAAGACAAATGATAATTGAGAAAAACTAAATGATTCAGCATGTTTTATAAATCTCTGTTCATGTTTACTTTACTATCCCATAAAGGGCTCATTACAAACTGTGTTATCTGCTAGGCTATAGGGAAGAGTTAATTAAATTAGGCTATAAACTTCTCCACTTACACAAATGAAAGGCTGTGCCTTTGAATGTTTTCATCACACAATCAACATAAATGTGTGAGATGTCAGAGGTTAAAGAATTCAAAACAACTCAAAGCCTTGAGCTATCAAGCCCAGGAAAGGATTGGAGCACATATTGTTACATTTGGCCTCTCAGAGTGTACATCATAACAAAAAGTGATATTTTCAGCTGCCTAATTTGGTATCTTTTGGGATTGCATGAGATAAAGTGTTAGGCTGTTTCGGTTTAATTTAACTTTGTAAAGAGAGTTTACAGTTGATGCATTATAAAACCCAAAATTAATGTTATGCCTGAATTTTACAGAAAGGAATGATGAAGTGAGATTTGAAGTTTTCCTTTATAAATTTGTGAAGTGTGAAATATTCCTGCATGAAACCCAATGAGGACTGTCCCTTTGCTAAAAAACAATATTTGCATCCTCAACCAACATCAATTGGTATCTTTTATGAGTGAAATAAAAGGTTGAGCCACAAGACTTGGATCAAAATTTCTAATGAACATCTGTGCCCTTTTAAGAAAAGATCTTTTACCCCCCCTTTAAGATCAGGATCAAACATCTCTGACACTGTATTTTTTTATACTCAGAAACACAGCTCTATACATGTGTAATGTGTAACAGAGTTCCTTCATCATCCATACTGCTGCTGAGGAGCAGCAGTCACTTATCTGCTCTATTGCCTTGTTTGCTCATCAGTCTCCTCTTCTAAATCTATGTTGCTCGCACTGTGCATTCCCACAAGGACATCTGCAATCTTGTTTGTGTCATTTCCTGAAATTGGAACCAATTCATACTTTCCTCTGCATTCCTCAGAGTCATCCAGAATTTCCCTCAGCTTGCGGATGAATAACACCACCTAGGTTACAAGGTAAATGGTTTCAGTTGGTGTAAGCATCAGCTTAACCCTTCAGCTCTCAGTAGTGATTAACCCGTAACTTCTCCATAATATTCATAAATTATCCAGCAAACAGTTAATGAGAATACTCAAACTTATCAGGTAGAAGTTGTTATCTTGATTTAATGCCAAATTCTTGTTACTAATTTACAAGGAAATTTGTTTAAGCTAGAAGGGGGAATATAAAATCAGATCTTGGCAGTTAAAGGGTTAAGCTACAACAATCGCTTACAAAATTTGTATAAAAAACGCTACCTCAAAAAGAAATTCTAAGAACAAATATTTATTATCATATATCTATAATTACACAACAGATCACACTTGTTCACCTGATGATCCCGCTCTGGACCAGTCAAGGGGGCTTTTGCATGACCTGACATTTCGTACAGGGACATAAGAGGCGTAGCGTACTCCAGGACAAAGTGGTACTCATCCACTGTTCCATCGGGGCGGGGCATCTCTATGCGGTGTACCGCATGCTGGTAACTTCTCTCCAAAATTCCAGCCCTGTTAATTTTACTCGCGGGGAGTTTGCCGGCCCATTTTACCCTGTCATCTGCTTTGGAGATTTCTTCAAATGTATAGCACGTTTTTGGAAGCAAAATGAAAAGCTTTTCGTCTGTAATCTTATGACGAAATGTGTCCGATTCGGAAATACGATATCCCAGTCTTGGCAGCACCAGCTTCAGATAGCCAAAGTAGTAGCTCCAAGCCAGCCCATCAGCCACATTCTTGTTTTCTTTTTCGTTCAAATCCGATGTCTCTACAGGAGAGAGCTGTCGAAGACCCACAAGGAATGACAATTGCGGAACCACGAGACAATTCAGGAAAAACAAGATGGAGAAACCTGGACTCGAGAAAACTTCGTATTGTTCATGCAGCATAAAACACAGTGTCAGAGCGGAAGCGATGGCGACAACTAAAATACTACCGGAATTATTGAAAGTGAAAGTCGTCTTGAGAATATCCTTCCAGTTTCCTCGATATCTCGCGTGTTTGTGTTTAATCTCTTCAGACACTAGGCACAATCTTCGTACCATTTCTCCGAGAACGACACTCAAGATAAGCAAGGCTGTTGTAAACACCAGGAAGTGAATCCCTTCTCTCTTTTCGTTATCCTTTACTGCGAACAAAAGCATCACGCCACTAATCACAACCACGATAGCTGATGTGATCGTAGCAATATTTCCACGAAGCTCGGAAAGTGGTCCAAAGCCATTATGTGCTTGCTGAGCTACGTCATCTCCTCGGGGAAGAAGATTATCAGTCATGGTGGAGAAAACTATTCCTTTCTCACGATGGTCTTACGTTACTCGTGAAGTTGGCCTCAAACAAATACGTCAAACTGTTGGGAGCAGATCACTTATTCAAATAGAACGCTATTCACTCGGGTAATCCCCCAGATGAATTCTCTGGACCTGATTGGCCAGGAGCACGTCAGGATGTTCAGAAGGTGTACCCTTGGGGGAAAGCCCCCCTGACGTGGTGGGTTAATCAAAGTTTCATAGTGCTCTTTCAGCAACTTTCGGTTTCTTGAGATCTTTCCCTTACGAATGAAAAACTGAAATAAAAACGTTTTCCTAACCTATACCTTTTGGAGCCCCCCCACTTGAAAGTCCGTTGGGTTTAAAAATTGTGGTTTTCACAGGAAGGTTGCATGTCCTCATAGAAACTAGAAACAAATTGACTTTAAATCAGGGTGTATAATGGTAACTATTGCTTCAATATTGGATTATCCATATTTATGTGAGGGCCAGTTAAAATTAGCTCTGCCTTCATCTTGGCTAGGCTCATAGAAGAGAACAAGGAAGATCAAAGGGTTATTAATGCTATTGCCAAATGACATAAAACCTCTGCATAAACCAATACCACCAGTGTAAAACACTTGAGGTATAATGATATTGTTTTCTTCTTTCTCATCACCTGAAATGTATCAAATTGAAAACATAATTTTTTTGGGGGTTTTCACAGGAATGAAAGGGTGAAGTGATATAATACTAATCAAACCCATGTATGACCTTTATAGCTGGCCATCAAGGCAAGTGTACATGCTACAACTGGGGGGCAGAGGGGTGGGGAGTATGGATGGAGCCAGGACACTACTTGTCTTGTATGAAAGTGACAATAACTTTCACATTTTTCTGCCTCCCTCAGACAGTTAAGGACATCAGTATATTTATTAGCTATCAACAAAGTATCTTTAGGATTCCTTGGTATAAAATGTTGTGAAATTACAGTTTCAGTGAACAACTGTATCAGAAAAGTGTAAAAAGAAAAAATTTGGTATTTTCACAATAGTACTTGTGTCAGTTGTCTTTATAGACTATACTACTTTCCAAAAATGTTCTCAGTTTTTTATAGACTGATGTATTTATGTCTCAGATCCCTCCTATAATCAATAAGCAATATCATTTTGTTCACAGCGGTCACTGTTCTGGTATGTTCACTTCATCAGCTTCCTCATCCATCTCCACATTGGCAGCTTTATGCATTTCAACCAGGATATCTGCAATCTTGTTTTTCTCCTCATCTCCTGAAAATGGAACCAATTCATACCTTCCTCTACATTCTGTACTCTTATCCAAAATTTCCTTCAGTTTTCGAATGAACAACACTACCTAAAGGATATGAAAGAGAGAGAAAAAGAAAAGGATTAAACAAAGTTTAATTATATATAATACAATTATATATGTAAATAAATCTTGATTATGATCTATCCTTGTGGTGTAGTGCTCGATGTTGTTCGCAGAGTATGGTATGTCTAAAAGTTGGACAAATCAATAAGACCTAACTTTTCTGTGAAACCTGCGTTTCACACTTACGCGATCATCAGCCATGAAAATTGGTCTAATGACTGCATAGCATGAAACTCAGAGTTACAGAAAAGTTATGTCTTATTGATTTGTCCAACTTTCATATATATATATATATATATATATATATATATATATATATATAGGTATATGTACATATATTCATACATACATACATATAGGAAATTCATGTTTAACATACAGATGAAATCTTATTTTGCAATTCAAGACTTAATTATCATTTGCTTTGAACATTACAATTAAAATGCACATTTTTTTGTTCTTTTTGCTCAAAATGACATACAGTTTTTAAACTGTTTGTGAGTTTGTTTTATCAATACAGCACAAGTAGGCAAAGGAGCTGTTTTAACCACCGAAAAATGGGCTGGGGTAGAAAAATACAGCCTATGGGAACTTTGAAGGAAGTTTTAAACTTTCCTCATTTTACTTTTCTGGTCAATGTATGAAACAACCAATTTGAATTGCTTTTGGTGTACACATATTTTATCATCAATTTTCAAATTAAAAATAAAAAAAAAGAACAGAATGTGGTAAGAGCAATTCACCTGATATTCTTTTGCTTATTTGTTTTTTTTCTTCCTGTTGTTATCTTAGCCTAAAATCATCTGCAATCCTCCAAAACCTAACAAATACATGAATGCTATTCCCTGGGTGCTTCAACATCTGGTGTCTGACCTGACACATACTGGTGTCCAGGCTCTATGGTTAATGCATAATGTAAGCTTTCACATTGAGGCATGGAGAACTACTTGACAAGCACATAAAAACTCTGAATGGAAGAGATAACATTTTTCACATGCTTCTCAATTGCTTTTCTCAGGCCTGTGGTAGGAGGCAGTAAAAAAATTAAATTACATAACAATCCAAGTGTATCAAAAATGGTCACCGCACTACCTGGTGATCCCGCTCTGGAGCCGTTAATTGGGCGTCTGGGAAGTTAGACATATCATGGAGGGTCATCAGAGGCGTGGCATACTCCACGATAAAGTGGTACTTTTCGTTTGTCCCATCTGGCATCACTATTTCATGTACCGCATGCTTGTAACTTCTCTCCTTAATTCCTCCCCTGTTAATTTTACTCTCCGGGAGATTGCCGACCCATTTTACCCTGGAATCCGCTTCCTCAATGTCATCACATGTGAAGCACGTTTTTGGAAGTAGAATGAAAAGCTTCTTGTCTATTATCTTATGACGAAATGTCTCCGATTCTGATATCCGATGTTCCAGTCTTGGCAGCACCAGCTTCAGATAACCAAAGTAATAGCCCCAAGCCAGCCCATCAGCCACATTCTTGTTTTCTTTTTCGTTCAAATCCGATGTCTCTACAGGAGAGAGCTGTCGAAGACCCACAAGGAACGACAACTGCGGAACCACGAGACAGTTCAGGAAAAACAAGATGGAGAAACCTGGACTAGAGAATACTTCGTATTGTTCATACAGCCCAAAACACAATATCAGAGCGGAAGCGATGGCGACGACTAAAATACTACCGGAATTATCGAAAGTGAAAGTCGTCTTGAGAACAGCCTTCCAGTTTCCTCGATATCTCGCGTCCTTGTGTGTAATCTCTTCAAACACTAGGCACAATCTTCGTACTATTTCTCCGAGAACGACACTCAAGGTAAGCAAGGCTGTTTTAAACACCAGAAAATGAATCCCTTCCCTCTTTTCGTTCTCCTTCACTACGAACAAAAGCACCGCGCTACTAAATACAACCACGATCGTTGATGCGATCGTAGCAATATTTCCACGAAGCTCGGAAAGTGGTCCAAAGCCATTATGTGCTTGCTGAGCCACGTCATCTGCTCGGGGAGGATGATTATCAGCCATGGAGGATAAAACTATTCCTTTCTCACGAAGGACTTTTCTTACTCGTGAAGTTAGCCACAGCTTAATGCGCCAAATTGAAGAGAGCTAACCTATTACTCAACTTGAACGCCATTCACTTATTTGGGGAATCCCCTAGATGAATACTCTGGATCTGATTGGCCAGGAGCCTCATCGTGGATATCGTCAGGGTGTACCCCCCTGGGGGAAAGCCCTGAATTAGGGCGGGTGACTCGAAGTTATAAAGTGCTCTCTCAGCAACTTTCACTTTCGAGATATCTTTCCCAGTGGAATAAAAACCAAAAGAAAATCGTTATTCTTAAATGGCCCGTCTGGTGTCCACACAGGTTAGAGAATTTGTAAACCCCTCTAGGCCCCTTGTGGAAAAATTTTGGTACTCGCGTGAGAGCCTTACAAACGGTTATTCAGCGTTAATATTCAAATACTTGCTATTACGTGAAAGCCAATGAAAATATAAAACTTACAATAGTTTGTTCCTCATTGAATTATTTTTTGTGCCTGGCGTAGAGAGGAGCATCGAGGAACATCAAGGAGCATCAGGGGACGTTTAAAGCCAGTGCCAATTGAGATAACACTTCTACGTCCTTAAAGAAAATACATCTACAGAAAGCGAGCATGGTTGTGTGAAAGATGTAAATGGCGCAAAACGACGTGATTGTCATCAGCGACGATGAAGGAGACTTTGTCAACAAAAAGATATCGGAGGAAACACAAATTATTGTTATCGATGAGGACGATGACATTGTCGAATTGACGGAAACGACGAGCAATGTTATTGAAACAATCGCAAGTAGTCAAGTTAAATCTGAGTCCTGTCGTCCGTTGAAAAATTTGAAATTCAGCGAAAATGGCGTTAAGAGGCTCCAAGCCCAGGTAAAGCTCATCGACATTGGAAAATCGAAGAAGCCACTGAAACTTAAAGCTGTGAAACCAGAGAATGACGAGGTAGTTGCAACCAGTTCAACCGAATTCAAAGAAACCAATTCATCGGTGCAGCAGGTGAGAATTGAGATGGAAAGATTCCCGTTCTTCCCATACTTATTCTAAAACAAAGTCTCAGTGTTAATGTACTGTTTGGCCATTGGTTTCTTTTATCCAAGTACTGTAAGCATATCGAAGTATAGGGTTATACGGAAATCTTGCTGAGTTTCTTCAGAGCTTTTCTTCTAAGCTCTGAAGAAAATTGAATTTCTTGGAACAAGAAAAATTACAACCCAATCTCTTTCATTCAGTGTGGTGTCTGGCCAGATCTTCATGAGCATCCCTAATCCAGATAAACTAGTAACCACGCACAGTGTTTGGATGTACTTTCTAAACCACAAGGAGGCTTATTCATATCAAGGTTCCTTCATATCATCGTAAAGCTGTTCAAAGTTGGTAATGTTGTTACTTAGGTTAGTCTAGCTTACTCAGTGGACAACAACTGCCATACTGGGGCTTATACTGGTATTGGCTGCATTGAGTTACCAGGACAACATGTGTTACTTTTCCTGGACAGGATGGTGGTTAACTGCAGGGTATCCATTATGCTCACTTACTCTCATGCTTAAAGTTGTGATTGTCACCAACCAGATTCTCTTGACCGAAAAAAAAAAATAGAAACACTTGAACATTTACAGCCCTGACTGGTACATTTTGTAAATGTTTCATAGTTAGATTAAGAGCTTGAATCAATCTAAGTAGAGGGATATTTTTTCTAATAATCTTGCTTTCCATGAAACCCTGCGATATTGAAAGGGGACACAAGAAGAAAGGTTGTGTAAAAACTCTTTGAGGCTTTGTCAAAAGGTTTTATAGTTTCCTTGAATTTCTATGGTTTTTTTGGGTTATGATTGGGCCCGATACAAAAAATACCAAATTGACTTTGACTTTGACTTTGAAAAAAGTTGATGGGTGCATTACAAGTCTTTTTGCAGTCATCAAGTGTCACTGAAAGTTTGTTGTCTGAGGTGAAGAGAGGCAGTGTTTTGGTTAAGTGTGCTAACTACAAAACTCTCATCTTTCCTGTTGACTGATTCCTAATTCTCTATATGTTTCCAGGTTAAGACTGAAGAAGTGGATGCACACAATGGGGAGTTAAGAATGAACCTCTTTGAGAAATTCTGGTCTGGTAAACAAGAAATCATCAGCAACAAACCTGCAAAAGTCATTGAAAGTTTTGATGACTCATACAAACACAAAAAGGCTAAAAGCCTTTGTCAGTCTCCATCTTCATTAAAGCAGAGGAGACTCACTGCTGAGAGTTTCTCTCCTAAGAAGAGGCCTCCTTTACATGGGATTGTGAGAGATGGAGAGCTTTTACATTACACAACACCTTTACACTGCACAGTTCCACTGAAAAAATTAGAACTTGCAAGCAAACAAGAAGAAAGCTTGAGCAAAACCTTCACTGAAAACCAGCTGAATTCACTGCAGGCTCTTAAAGAAGAGAATTTTCACAAAACCTACCTGGAAACTGTCACCAGCTTTATGAGTCCACGTCGTAAACCACCTCCATCCCTTCTGTTTTACCTGTTCAATAATATCTTGCTCTCCAAGCAAAGTGGCTGTGGTACAGAATGTTTTAGAATTCTCTTACGGATTCAAGAATTGCATCCTGCTGAGGTGGCACAGATGTTACAACAGAAAATTACATGGGAGTTTGTTTCCATGATAGTGAAGCTAGCAGGATGCACACAGTCTCACACAGTGGAAAGCTTTAAAATGAATGCCTCCATGGCTTTGTCTTTTCTTGTAAGTGTCATGGAAAAGGAAGTTGAGAAAAAGAAAGTCTGCCTTGTCAAGACAAGTGCGCACCAATTTTTCTCAGTAGATAGACTTTCGGGTAATTTTCATGATGTTGTAGAGTGGGTTAAAAAGGCCACAGAAGAACATCGCAAGGAACAATTGGACCAACATTGTGGGCATAACTTCTGTCCACTATATTTATTACAAAGAATGCTTCAGTTGTCAGTGTTAGTCAGTCAAAGACCAGAGGACACTGCTGTAAGACTAGCCAATGATTTAGTTTTGGCTTATGTAGAGTTACCATCTATCAAGTATAAAACATTGTTGCTTCAGTCAATACAGTCACATTTATTGAAGACAAAGCTGATTGAAATTGTGGTGAAAAACTGTTGTTCTATTGATGAAGAGTTAGAGGAGGAAAGAATGACTAGCTCTGGATTGAAAAATGTGGTCTTAAACTTCAAAAGATCTCCACCTCTCTCTGATGGCATTGTTAGCACTACAAACTGTGAAGAATTTGTTATGCTTCTTGCATATTGGCTGCAAAGCTTTATTTTCTGTCACAAGAGGTCTTTAATGGCAAAAGGAAAAGAATCACAGCGAGTTTTGTCCCTAAATGATGTGGAGGTACTGAGGAGAATTGAACAGGAAGTGTCTATTTTGACAGCTCGTTTAGAGTTATTATGTGACTCTACACTCTCCCCAAGAAGCTACCAATTACTGCAATTAATCTTGTCACTAAAGAGTTTTGCACAAATTCCATAGATGATGTTGCTGCAAATTGTATGATGTCATGTAACAAGGGTGATTGAGACTGTTTTGTTGTACTTAAGTAGCTTGATGCATGATTACAATCAAGAGAAAATCTCACCAAAACCGTGATTTCCTGTGCTTCTGTTGGAAACTAAAAGAATCAGGATGAAGAATGAGTCAGGTTGGTTTGGAAAAGTTTAGGACAAAGAACATGTGATGTGAATTAAATAGTTTATATATGTCACAATTTTGGCAGATAGCATATTATAAATAAATACCATTCATATTCAGAGTACATTTTGGTGGCAAGTTTTTTTTTATAACCATTTATTTGAATGATGTGGGGATTTAGGAATGTTGTTTTAAATCCAGATTCACTGAAATCCAGGATATTATAATTTTCTAACCACCTGAAAAAAAATTCCAAATCAATACAGAACAGCACTGACAATTACTATTCACTACAGCAGCAGTTATCATTAGCATGCATTATCCCTTCTTCCAGGTCACTTAATCCTTTGACTCTCAGGATTGACCAAGAAAGAATTTCTCCTTACAGTATCAATACAATATCAAGCAGATAAGTGATGAGAATAAAGAGAAATATGCATATTGGAATTATTAGTTGATCCAATATGGAATTCATAGAACTAACATCATAAGAACTGTATGGTAGACAGTAAAGAGAATTACTATTGAGATCTTGGGAGTGAAAGGGTTAAACCTCTTGGGTTGGGCACTCTTCACTTGTGCAACATATACAATGAAAAAGTTATTCCTTTAAAAAATGGGTGAATACATTTTATTGTCAAATAATCCTGTTGCGTTCATCAAAGGTATATCCGATTATTTTTTAACAATATGCACATGGTTAAATTTTTATTTGCTAAGGAGAAGGTTTTAGGTCAATTCTTGAACCCACTGATGTCAAAGTGGAAACACAAGGGAATAAGAGTTGAACTTCTCACAGCTGATCATTTTTAATTGCTTATCTTTCAGGCCATTTCTAATTTTCACCAGGAACTATGCTTAGCTGATAACATATTTATGCTATAGAAATTTGTGGCACTCTGTTTTCCTGAGAAGTGGTATTTTGTTGGTTATGTAAGAGAATTAAGACAATTAATATTTAATTTTGATAGGACTGTATGTGAAAGTTAGAAATTATTTATTTTCAAGGTTTGGTATATAATATGTTAGTGAGAGTAGTGTTTCTCCAAATGGAAATAAAAAGGATAGAATTGTAGCCACCTTTTGCTTATGCATTTTTAAGAATTCTTTTAGAGAAAAGCTGAAATTGTTCCTTATCCCAACCAGATCAGTAGTTAAGAATTCCAACAGGTGATGACAAGAGGCCAACTTACTAGAGCAGGTGGGTACCTTGCTACTTGTAACTATTCTCATAGAGGACCTTGTGCCTGTTAAGAGTGGTTTGTACTCATGCACTAATAATTTCCCTAAAGAACTAGCAGTGTGCCATGGAAAAGGTGTAACCCTCTTCTTGAGACAAATTATATTCTTTAATAGTGGTGCACTTTTTGCTCAAGTGTTGCTCTTTTTGCTCAAGTGTTGCTACACCAAAACCAAAGTACTGGTATTCACAATGGTTACTCAGAACAAAGGAAAATATCACAACTGAAGCAGCTGAGCATTTTGCAATACAAAGAAATTAGAGGGGAGAATTAACAATCAGATCATAGGAGTTAAAGGGTTAGCTCATAATTGTTTATTATCCAACTGACCATTTGTTATTTAGAGTTAGATGGGAGGGTGGGGAAGAGGTTGGGAGGAAAGTTGAGGAGATATTCAATGCCCCACCCCTTCCCCTCTCCTTTTTTGATGTCACTCACCCCCTCTGTATAAATTTATTTCTCTCCCCAGCCTTCAGCTGCCATCAAAACTCACCAACAGATTACTGTGAAATTGCTTGCCAAAATATTGCATGATCTATAGTCTAAGTGTGTGGTAGAGGGGGAGGAACATACCATTACTGAAATTTTCCATGAAAGATAATTTTTTGTGACCACTTCTTAACTCATGCTAGGGCTGTTAGAATGTTATTTCCCCAAGCACAATCCTCATGAAACAATGTGAATAGATTACAATACTAAATATTTTACTAGGCTAAATTTATGATAAGCAAGAAATGTTGTCAGCACTGAAAGGTAGGGGGTGGGGTGGGGAAAATTGCCTGCCAAATGGTTTTAATTTTTAACCTAATTGATTGAGAAAGTTATGGACCAATCACAGAGTGAGGAAGGGCAAAACTAAAGCACTCAACCAAACATTTCTCCATGTAGGATAACATGTACAGTCAACTCTCCACTAATGGACACTTGTGAGCAGACAGTTCTTCATATGAAAACTCTTTCAGATTCTCTTTTTTTGCCTCCCAGTCAAACTCTGTATTTACACATTTCCATAAGAGGACACTTTCCTAATTGTGCACAGACATTTTTGAAATAGAAAAAAATTTGAGTTTTCTTACTCTGGCAATAAAATCTGTCTTGAATTTGCAAATCATCAAATATAAGACCTTTGATAGAGCAATGGAACAGTGGAATACAATAATAAAGAAGGCGTTCCCAAAGAAGTTTGGTGCAGTACATTGTATTGATCAGTGGATTTTGTGCGGTCCAGCTAGCAGTGGACAAGTGCCACTATAGTGTTGGATGACGCAGAAATCGCTATTTTGTGGCAATGTAGTCAACATGCTCATGAAGCTTTTGATCACCTTACTTTTGCCATGGTTTTTATTGACTTGCATCACGTGTTACCCAAGCAAACAAATCATGAAACATAAGTAAATCATGGGAATTTCATTTTACTTTTACGCTCCATTTTTAGGAGTCATTAAGCCCTTTTAAACAGAGAATAAATACTTTTTCATGTCTCTGAGGTCATGACTCCCACATCTTGCCTTTAAAATTTCTCAGATCCCACATTCTGCCTCAGTTTAAAGCCTCATTCCACATCCTGCCAAACCTATGTTGGACCCTCAAAATTGAGATGTCTGTTAATTTTTAAAAATTTTTTTAATTAGATCTTCTTATTCAAATATGAATCAACGGCTTTCCACAGAGCAGTTATGTTGCCTGCTCCAAATCCTGTAGCCCCACATCGCTGGATAACCTCCAGGAAAAAGGTTTCTTTGTTAAAAAGTGGTCTAGTAAAAACCTGCATCAAATATCTGTAAAATAACAACAAAAGAAAGGTAGTTAATTCACCA